AACCTTTTCAACCCTATAATTAAGAACCCCCAAGAGGCTGAAACTTGGAGAGGTTCTTATTTATAAGAAAAAGGGTTTTAAGAATTGTATTTTTACACCCTACTCACACTGTCAAATTAAACCAGCTTAGAGTAAATCAGGTTATGGTAGCTATGTTGCATTCTAATTGTACAACCTAACAACACAAATTCATTTTATTGGCTAAAATTTAACTTAAAAAAACAAAGCTGGTTTAAGTGTGACCATTAGAATTCTTGCGGTGGAAAACATAACCTATTCAGGCTGCCAGAAAAAAAACCTAGGTTCTTTTATGCGGGCTACTACTGTATTGTAACATGTTGACGTGTTAGGCTTATTTCGAAAGTTTACGGCACACAAACAAAGTACCAAGTGCCATAACGCCCTCCTCTGTCCTCCCCTCTCCTGAAAAATAAATAAACCCCACATCGTGTGTGTTAGTAGGTATAGCAACGAGATTGGTTAATTTGGTAGCTTTTAAAAAAGCTGTTTTTGATTGTAGACGACGAGGAAACACTCGTTTGTGTATACGACAAGTTTACTTGCTGCTTGTGTACTTGGTAACGGCCTTGGTGCCCTCACTGACAGCATGCTTGGCAAGTTCACCGGGAAGGAGAAGCCTGACGGCAGTCTGGATTTCCCTCGAAGTGATCGTTGCCTTCTTGTTGTAGTGGGCGAGACGCGAAGCTTCTTGAGCAATCCTTTCGAAGATGTCGTTGACAAACGAGTTCATGATGCTCATGGCCTTGCTTGAAACGCCAGTATCGGGATGGACTTGCTTAAGTACCTTGTAGATGTAAATCGAGTAGCTCTCCTTGCGCTTTTTTGACCTCTTCTTATCTCCAGAGGCAGCCTTGCCTCCTTTCTTGCCAACTCCTGCTTTCTTCTCCCCCTTCTTGGCAACCTTTGGGGCCTGTTTTCCTCCTTTTGCTGGGGCGTCAGACATCTTGAAATGAAGAAAATTGAATTTCGACTTGCGAGAACCTTCGATAGATAGACAAAGCAACAGTGATCTGGTCTTTTGGCGCCAACGCAAGCTTTTAGTATATTTGTTGGCAGCTGAGTGATTAGCTCGAAGGCCATGTGACACACGTCGATTCGCTGTCTCGTGTTCGCTTATTGTTCGCGGTCGATAGCGGGGGTGTTGATTGGTAGATCTCGAGTAAATGCCCTTTACAAATCGACCACTTTGGCGGGCAAGCAGACAGTTGCGAACAAATTTGTTCATCTTACAGCAAGGGACCATTTCATATTTTCAATTTGAAAACTGCCAGTGTAGAAACATGTCTGGACGCGGAAAAGGAGGAAAAGCTAAGGCCAAGGCAAGGTCGAGAACATCCAGAGCTGGTCTTCAGTTCCCAGTCGGACGTATCCACAGATTGTTGAGAAAGGGAAACTATGCTGAACGAGTTGGATCGGGGGCTCCCGTCTATCTTGCAGCCGTACTCGAGTATCTTTCGGCAGAAATCTTGGAGTTGGCTGGCAATGCCGCCAGGGACAACAAAAAGTCAAGAATCATCCCTCGACACTTGCAGCTTGCAATTAGAAACGACGAGGAGCTGAACAAATTGCTGAGTGGAGTGACCATTGCTCAAGGTGGTGTCCTGCCCAACATTCAGGCAGTACTCTTACCAAAGAAGACCGAGCAGAAAGCTCCAAAATCATAAAGCTTCGGCTCACTTGTTGGCCCGGCCCACTTGTTCATAAAAAACGGTTTTTTTAAAAACCACCACGAAAACTGATTTGGTGTACCTGCTTGTCACACGCACGATAGGCACATTCTGTGTAGAGGCTATCGATGTACACATATCTATCTAATTACATTTTGTGAAAAAGGCAATCGATTTACACACATCTAATAGCTTATTAGGATTGTAGGCTATATTCGATTGGGAGTAGGTAGTGTTTGGCTGACCTTCGATGTTTTCATGTTGCTTCTCGAGGGCTGTGCACCATTTAGACTAACATTCATAGCCTGAGATAATGATATGCGGCCTAATAAAAAAAATGCATAAAGATAATGAGATACAACATTCAGCAGCAAATAGCTAACTATGGTTTAAAAAAGATTTAAAATAAAATAACCATGGTTATTTCAAATTGGTTATTAGAAGGTCATTCTTTATCTTTATACTTTGCCGTGTGCAAGTGCTATTTGTTTATCCTAGGGAGGCTATATAGTTTCAGCTTCGTTTTTCAAAAGCCTCTCTGGTAGGAATTATAATATATTTTATTCAGTCTTCTAAACAAAGTTGACATTTCGAATTTTTGCTCTCTGCCTACGAAATAACTTACCATTCTTTGTGTTCAAAAAATTGGCATGTATTAACTACTTCAACCGGGATATATAGATAGATATTAATTGTATGTTCTTTTATGCATGGTATAAAAGGGTCTTGATTGCAAAACGGTTGAGTTATAATGAGCGGAGTAAAATTTTCAATTAATCTATGGTGTTAATCGTGTGTTGTCACAAGGTTTAAAACATTGGGTAACATTGGCATTTTTAGTAGCTTTTAAAAAAGCTGTTTGTTTTGTTGAAGAAGGCGAGCCACTCCAGTCGTTTCCCCAGTAAACAGGACGACGCAACTTAACCGCCAAATCCGTACAATGTTCGGCCTTGTCTCTTCAAAGCGTAGACGACATCCATGGCGGTGACAGTCTTTCGCTTGGCATGTTCTGTGTATGTGACTGCATCACGAATGACGTTCTCGAGGAAAACCTTGAGAACACCTCGTGTCTCTTCGTAAATGAGACCAGAGATTCTCTTTACTCCTCCACGACGAGCCAATCGGCGAATGGCTGGCTTGGTGATGCCTTGGATGTTGTCACGAAGAATCTTTCGATGACGCTTGGCACCTCCTTTGCCAAGACCCTTTCCTCCTTTTCCTCTTCCAGACATGATTGATGAAAGTTTTGCAATGTAAGTCCAAACGACAGTACGCTAAGCAAGTGAACTGCGCAGATTGATGAAGCTGCTGCAAACTGCAGGGTTTAAATTCAGTAGAAAAAGCGAACGTATTAGGAGCACTTTCTTTATCCTGCCCTGCCATGTTGGTTGCTTGGTTGGCGCCTTTTATAACTCTACTGAAGCAAAGTGTACGAAAGTTCTACCGACGCTTTGTTCTACTATCCATTTTCTGATGACGTTTTATGCTTACGTTTTTTTTGAAAAGAATATCAGACGAAATACTTGAGAATGTTTAAAATGTTTGCTCTTTCCAAAGCCATTTTTTAATTTTGTTTCACAAAAAGATTGTTCGCAAACATCATTTACGTAAAAAGTTGCTATTGTTGCCAATAACCAAGACAAACAATTCTCAAAAATTAAGAGAGAGTAATTTAAAATTGTTGAATCCTCTAAAAATGTCGCGATTTCTGTTTCCCCCAACTTTTAATCAGATCGTAAGAACAAGATCAACTTCAGATCGTAAGTTCAGAACAAGACTACTGGCAGCTCGAAAGTTTAGGGAACAAGCAGCCAATGGGCTTCTTGTTTTAGTCATCTGGCTTCTGTTCTCCCGGCATGTCACGTGGCTTGCTGAATGATTTCAAATTGAAGTCGAATGGCGCCATTTTGCAGATTGATATCCGTTGTGCCTACCGCTCAGTCACCACGTAAATTTCTTCGTTGAGGTATTAAAATGGCTCGTACAAAGCAGACTGCAAGAAAATCGACTGGAGGAAAAGCTCCTCGCAAACAATTGGCAACCAAGGCTGCACGAAAGAGTGCCCCGGCAACTGGAGGTGTAAAGAAGCCACACAGATACAGGCCCGGCACAGTAGCTCTGAGAGAAATTCGTAGATACCAGAAGTCGACCGAGTTGTTGATCAGGAAGCTGCCCTTCCAAAGGCTCGTCCGAGAAATTGCCCAAGACTTCAAGACAGACCTGCGCTTTCAGAGCTCGGCAGTGATGGCCCTCCAAGAGGCATCAGAAGCTTACCTAGTTGGACTGTTTGAAGACACCAACTTGTGCGCCATTCATGCCAAACGTGTTACCATTATGCCAAAGGACATACAACTGGCCAGGAGGATTCGAGGGGAGAGAGCTTAATTCAACAAGCAAATTTCATCTTGTCGATGAATTCTTTGAAAAAACGGTTTTTTTAAAAACCACCACGAACACCAGCGATTATATTTCTCCAGCCAGAATACACACGACATGGTCGACTCAAATCAGTTTACTTCTGTTCATATGTGTATGTATACGAAAAACCTTCAAATATGTACATTTTGTAAACGTGAAGAAGTAAATTTAAAGCAAGCATTATCCGAATGAAGGGAATTTCTTAAAGAGGGAGGTTTTTTAACAAGCAAATCTATGAATTGGGACTTCCACCATATCTATGAATTGTCAACCTATCTGATTTATAGAGCATTAAATTTTTTCCTTCCTTGTTGGTAAGTCATTCCAAATTTCAGCACCAAGAAAAACTAAGATACCCAAAACTGCATGTTTTCTTATTATATCTATACTTACAAGTAGATCTTGCTCAAACAGTGATACAAGTCTTCATTCCAAAGTATAACTTTACTACCAAATTCTTTCTTGCTATCCATTCACAATTGCACAGCCAAGAGAGAATGGAGGGAATAACTCCTCACAAAATCAACTGTAATGTAAATCATTGCATACTGTGTACAATGGGACAATAAAAAATAACTTACCACATTTTTATACTGCTAGTCTCACATTCAAGTAAATGTGAAATGCAAAATTTTTCTCATGATCAACAATTTAGGCAAACAAGACAAATTAGCATGAAGGCTTAAAACTGCACTCAAAACAATAATGCGTGTATACATTATTGGTATTATTGGTGCAAAAAGTTTTCAGATTCTGCCAACCCCATGTTAAGACTGATTGAAAATGTTGGGGTCATAGTAAATAAACAATATATAATATATATTCCCTATGCAGTTAAATCATAGCCAACCACAAGATTTAAGCATAAAAAGTAGACTAGACTTATTGCTTGTATTCACATAATAAACTCTGATTGTGTAAATAGATTGTAAAAAAAGATACTTCAAAGAGCAACCTCACTACCCACCAAAAATTGTCTTCATGAGAAAAGACTAAATTTTTTACATGCCTATCATTATGGTCATTGCCCATCAAGGTCCCCTACTGTCAATCCAGTCTTGATATTTTTTTTACTTTGGATGTAAAAGTGAAATTTCTATCTCAATATCAAATGCATTAGACTGTGTAGGACAAATACGAGTGCACTTGCAGTTTTGCTTTTTAAATGATGAATCTAATTACCTATCTTGGATTTGGCGGTTAAGTTGCGTCGTCTTATTTACTGGACGAACGACTGGAGTGGCTCGCCTTCTTCAACAAAACAAACAGCTTTTTTAAAAGCTACCTAGAATGCCAATGTTACCCAATGTTTTAAACCTTGTGACAACACACGATTAACACAATAGATTAATTGAAAATTTTACTTCGCTCATTATAACTCAACCGTTTTGAAATCAAGACCCTTTAATACCATGCATGAAAGAACATACAATTTATATCTATCTATATATCCCGGTTGAAATAGTTAATACATGCCAATTTTTTGAACACAAAGAATGGTAAGTTATTTTGTAGGCAGACAGCAAGAATTCGAAATGTCAACTTTGTTTAGAAGAGTGAATAAAATATATTATAATTCCTACCAGAGAGGCTTTTGAAAAACGAAGCTGTAACTATATAGCCTCCCTAGGATAAACAAAAAGCACTTGCACACGGGAAAGTATAAAGATAAAGAAAGACCCTCTAATAACCAATTTGAAATAACCATGGTTATTTCATTTTAAACCTTTTTTAAACCATAGTTAGCTATTTGCTGTTGAATGTTGTATCTCATTATCTTTAGGCATTTTTTTTATTAGGCCGCATATCATTATTTCAGGCTATGAATGTTAGTCTAAATGGTGCACAGCCCTCGAGAAGCAACATGAAAACATCGAATGTCAGCCAAACACTACCTACTCCCAACCGAATATAGCCTACAATCCTAATAAGCTATTAGATGTGTGTAAGTAAATCGATTGCCTTTTTCACAAAATGTAATTAGATAGATATGTGTACATCGATAGCCTCTACACAGAATGTGCCTATCGTGCGTGTGACAAGCAGGTACACCAAATCAGTTTTCCTGGTGGTTTTTAAAAAAACCGTTTTCAATGAATAAGTGGCCGGGCCAACAAGTGAGTCGAAGCTTTATGATTTTGGAGCTTTCTGCTCGGTCTTCTTTGGTAAGAGCACTGCCTGAATGTTGGGCAGGACACCACCTTGTGCAATGGTCACTCCACTCAGCAATTTGTTCAGCTCCTCGTCGTTTCTAATTGCAAGCTGCAAGTGTCGAGGGATGATTCTTGACTTTTTGTTGTCCCTGGCGGCATTGCCAGCCAACTCCAAGATTTCTGCCGAAAGATACTCGAGTACGGCTGCAAGATAGACGGGAGCCCCCGATCCAACTCGTTCAGCATAGTTTCCCTTTCTCAACAATCTGTGGATACGTCCGACTGGGAACTGAAGACCAGCTCTGGATGTCCTCGACCTTGCCTTGGCCTTAGCTTTTCCTCCTTTTCCGCGTCCAGACATGTTTCTACACTGGCAGTTCTCAAATTGAAAATATGAAATGGTCCCTTGCTGTAAGGTGAACAACTTTGTTCGCAACTGCCTGATTGCCCGCCAAAGTGGTCGATTTGTAAAGGGTATTTACTCGAGATCTACCAATCAACACCCCCGCTATCAACCGCGAACAATAAGCGAACACGAGACAGCGAATCGACGTGTGTCACATGGCCTTCGAGCTAATCACTCAGCTGCCAACAAATATACTAAAAGCTTGCGTTGGCGCCAAAAGACCAGATCACTGTTGCTTTTTCTATCTATCGAAGATTCTCATTTCATTTCAAGCAAGATGTCTGACGCCCCAGCAAAAGGAGGAAAACAGGCCCCAAAGGTTGCCAAGAAGGGGGAGAAGAAAGCAGGAGTTGGCAAGAAAGGTGGCAAGGCTGCCTCTGGAGATAAGAAGAGGTCGAAAAAGCGCAAGGAGAGCTACTCGATTTACATCTACAAGGTACTTAAGCAAGTCCATCCCGATACCGGCGTTTCCAGCAAGGCCATGAGCATCATGAACTCCTTTGTCAACGACATCTTCGAAAGGATTGCTCAAGAAGCCTCGCGTCTCGCCCACTACAACAAGAAGGCAACGATCACGTCGAGGGAAATCCAGACCGCCGTCAGGCTTCTCCTTCCCGGTGAACTTGCCAAGCATGCTGTCAGTGAGGGCACCAAGGCCGTTACCAAGTACACAAGCAGCAAGTAAACTTGTCGTATACACAAACGAGTGTTTCCTCGTCGTCTACAATCAAAAACAGCTTTTTTAAAAGCTACCAAATTAACCAATCTCGTTGCTATACCCACTAACACACACGATGTGGGGTTTATTTATTTTTCAGGAGAGGGGAGGAGAGAGGAGGGCGTTATAGCCTGGTTTATTTATGTATGGCATTTACTCTCTTATTGTACCGTAAATTCTCGAATGAACACCCACCGTGGAATAAAAAATTGTGCATTAGCGCTTGCGATTGAGACATGCCAAATTATTACAATATTTACATGATTTGTCTGACAATGGTGGTCACATATTCAATGGAAAATTAAAGTTATAGGATGAACAGTCAAGACTTAAAAACCTACCTATGAGAATTAACTTTATTCTAACTTATATGTAATATATAACACAGAGCCTCCATGTTCTACCCATAAATGTTATTTGCTCAAACATTCAGCAAATTTGTATTGTATGGATAATGAGCCAAGACATATCGATATAACATATAACAAAACATGTCGATATAACAAAAGTTTCTGGAGCGTTTGTCCATTATTGTTTTTAAAAAGTGAAAAGTTATTCTTACCTGAGTCGGTATAAGTCAGCTTCTATTATGTTCAAATACAATCGAATCTGGATTGAAAATACAATTTCAGTAGTCAAAACGTGGGAAAGAATAAAACTTATATGAGATACTTTAATAATAGGGGGTGGTCTCTCCTCGATTAGTCTAACTACTGAGAGAGCTTTTCCTGTAAGTAATTCCCTCCATACAATCTATCTTGTGTCTATGTTTTGTATTGGTATATTGTATTAATTTCTTGTATTTTAGATGTTTGCTTGTCTTGTTATTGATAAATTGTATGTAGTGGAATTTAAAAAATGAAAACTGAACTGAGCTGAACTTCGTCATTGTCAAAATTTCCTCTTTGTTTGCTAAGGATTCAATTCTCTTACTTCTTTCTATATATGATTTGCTCGAACTGCAAATCGGTAAGTTGATTAGCATGAAGGGAGAAGGCGCCAATGCAAGCTTTTAGTATATTTATTTTTGATTTCTCTGGACAGGGGCTTTCTCGTGGGGGGCTTATACGAAAGGGTGGGGCTAATAAAATTATTGTAGACATTAAGGAGACATTATTAAAAGACCTCGTTTATTTTAGTAAGAATTTCTTTATGATCACTTAATTAATTACTACCAAAGTATGAATTTGTTGTGGTAATTCAGTAAAACGCCATTGGCAACCTCAAATGGCAAAAGATCGTCAAATTGAGGGGTTCAAGTCGCGAATATACGATAGCTTTATCGAGGGGGGCTTATTGGCAGTTTGTAGTTCTAGGATGGGGGCCTATTCGAGGGGGGGGCTTTTTCGAGGGGGGGTGGCCAGTTTGGGGATTCACGGTATACGTATTATTGGTACAAAATGTTTCAGATTCTGCTAACCCCATGTTAAAATTGACTGGAAGTGTTGGAGTCATAGTAAATAAACAATATATATCATTCCTACCTGCTACAGATTCTGAATTCAAAACGACATTTAAAGTGATTATTGTGAACAATTATTTTTGCGGTACAGAATTTGAAAATGGCTTTGAAAAAAGCAAACATTTTACGACATACTAAAAGCTTTTTCGTCTGACACTCCTCAGAGCATATTTCGAGCATATTTGCCTATTTCGATCCACAACTGGGTATATATTTTTCCATCGTGTTTTTTCGGAACCTATTCTGACGTTTTATGCTCTGAGGAGTGTCAGACGAAAAAGCTTTTAGTATGTCGTAAAATGTTTGCTTTTTTCAAAGCCATTTTCAAAGTGATTATTGCAGTTTGCTTACCATAAAAAACATAGTAACATCAACAGTTCAATGTGTATATGGTATGATAAGCTTCTGTCTGTGTTCCCTATGCAATTATATCATAGCCAAACTCAAGACTTTTGCATAAAAAGTAGACTTATTGCTTGCATTCACAGGATAAACTCTCATTGTAAAAATAGATTGTAAGAGAAAGATTTTTCAAAGAGCAACCTGACAACCCGTCACAAATTCGCTTCATAAGAATAGACTAATTTTTTACAAGCTTATCATTAAGGTCATGATCTGGTTGTTTTTTCCTTAGTGTTATTTATCAGTTAGTAATAAATAGGGCTGCATAGTTACTTCGGAAAAAACTTCAAAAAATTTTAACAACAACATATGTATTAAGTTCTTTAGATGTTTATTTAAGGATAAAAATGTTAAGATTACGCAATTTACTCGTAAAAAAGAGGCTTTTCCCCCCTAAACAGACTTTTTTTCAATTTTAAGCATTTATGCTCAATTATGCATTTATGCTTAATTAACTTGAGGACTTCCACTTATTTCCATTTAAACTGTTTTTCATTGATTACTTTCATATACGCAAAAACGAGACTTCAAACACGAAAAAGAGGCCGATGGCCCCCGAAAATCCCCGTTTAACATCGATTTATGAAATCAGCACCCACAAATTGACCAAAAGCATTTGGACCCATAAATTTTGCTCTCGGGCGACCATTCCCCTATTCTCCGCCTGGTCTATGAGAAGCAGTCGTTAAAAATGGCAAAAATACGAATACAACAATGGAAATCAACAGCCTTTAGACTAAAAATAGATCGGTATGTAATTTTTACAGAGTTTAGGGGAAAATAATGTTGAATCAGTCTGAAACAAAATTATCGTATACAGCTTTCTACAATTATCATATAAAAAACTAGAACAATATTAGAAAAATTAGAAGATATTTAGCAGTTGCTGAATCAGCTACACACATTTCTACAAGCACCAAAAAGTTTACGCAGCTTTGAAATGGCTATCCGATTCAATTTAGTACAAAAAAATCTTTTCTCGGAGTTAAAGAAATAATTTTTTTTAAAAACGTGCTTAATTATTGCAAAAAGTTGTTGTAATTTGAGCAGCGTTTTTAAAAGCTTGATTAGGCAACGTGTGGGAATGTGGCACTGAAGCACACAATTGATGGATGATAAAAAACTTCATAAGCCTGAAATCTTTAGCAGTGAATTAACCATCTTGAAGGATTGAAAAACAATTTAGGGTGGCTTATTGTAAACAGGAAGAATGGGCAACTAGCGTATATTTGTTGAGGAGCTTTGGGAGACGAACAAGAGAAAATATGTTCTTGAGTCAAAGAAATGCGCATGGAACTCGATCATTTTCACGATACATTGCTCCTTGCCACAAGGATGAAGTACATCATTGGCCTCCTCAACAAATACTGTCTTATTGTGAGGGAGACTAAATCCATCGGGGACAGCCTTGCTTATGAGTAACAGTTAGAAAATATATTGCAAGGAGGCAATGAAAACACAAAACCTTGATGAGTGACCTTTTACGATTACTGCGCAAGAAAACATAGATAAAAAATTCTAAACGAATCAGCATAGAAAAACGACACTTAATTAGCAATAGTAACTGCTTTAGTGAATCCTGCTTCAGTTTAAATATAAAGGAGTGCGCTGGGTGATCGGCATTCGACAAATATGACATACAGCCAAATTTTGACCACATGTCTCGCAGGAACTATGTCCGCATCCGAATACGGAATTGGGCAGACGCTCAAAACAAATTTTGCATTCAAAATTGCTTTCCCGGTTGATCGGTCTTTTTTCCACAGGTTTTGGGCCTGTAAGATAGACAAGTCAAATCCATTGAAGTTATTTTTTACACAAAACTCTTTCTAAGTTAAATTGTAGGACATGGGCGTCCACATTTTCTATCACTGGTGGTCCTTGATCTTGTTTGTTGACATCATTTGTTGCTTTTATTAAAATCTATATAGTTCATATAGAAAGGACTAAAATATATATTTTGGAAAGGGATTGCAAGGGCTTGGTATATATTACAGCATAGTTGATATCAACTATGGTTACAGTTGGATAATTGCAAGCATTTGAGCAGTAAGTTTATAATGAATGAATTGCTTATGCGAGCCTAGTTCACAAGAATAATGTGAAAATCTTTCCCTACTCCAGTTAGGAATCACAAGAAGAAATAATAACTATAGCAGAATGTTAGGATCGACAATGCGGCAAATTAATATTCTCTGGAAATCATCGCATTCGCAAAACTACGATTAAAGATAAAAAAACAAATAATCTCACCGATAAATTTCCTTTGATCGATCAGTTTATCACATAATTGACACTTCTTGAATCTATGTGAGCAGCCTAAAATACAATCAAATATTTATTACACTTGGTTTTCTGAAATCGTCGCTAAATACAAAGTTGCTAGCGTCATAGAATCGTAGAGAGGTGAAAATTTAGCTTTTTCGGCGATTCGCATATGTATGAGCTTGCTGGCAATGTGGCCAGGGCCGCAGAGAGGGTTTATGGGCCCCGGGTCAAAACGAAAGACAAAAAGCAAGGCACGCTGGAGGCGAACCTTTTAAGGAGTCCGGGGAAAATTTCTGAAACGATGTTTGCTAAAATTGCGGCTATTTTGGTGGCCGAAATTGCCATAGTGGCTATTACTTCTTTGATCATTTCAATATAGTTAAAAAATTACTTGTATCCTATCGTCGTAATGCATGCACATTTCTTAACTATTAAATATGCATTTCTTTATAGTGCTGCCGCTTGACCTCAAAAATAGGACAAAGTGTCCACTTTATAATACAAGCATAAAAGTTGGTACAAGTACAAAATTGGACATGCTGAATAAGATGAGATGCAGACCCCATTTCAAAAATGCCCCTAAAAGCTACTTTTAGACTGGGATACCCTTATCCAGTTCCTTCTTTGTCTTCTTCTATATCTGCTTGACATGCTGAGAAAGACGAGATTTCCCCCAAAAAGGCCCCCAAAAGCTTTGTAACCACGAAGAAGCTGATACTAGAACGTCTGTCTACGTGAAGAGTATTTCTAGTTCAGGACATGGAAGAGTCGCAATCGAAACGGTCGACACTGATGTTATCATAAAAGCAATTGCATTGTTTCTTCAGCTCAGCTGAGTACAGCTTTGGGTCGAGTTTGGGACAGGAGAAGACAAAAGATAGTTACCACTCCACGATTACACAAATGCACTTAAAGAAAGGGTTTGCTTTGGCTTCTTATTTAGGTACGCGTTTACTGTCTGTGACACAGTTTCTTCATTTTGTGAAAGAGGCAAAATTTGTTTGGAAGATTTGTTTCATGTAACGGTAGCTTTCATTGCTCTATCAAGTGTTACTAACCAGTGGCGTAACCAACGTAGGTTGGGGTTCGAGCAACTCCTAAGAGTCCCCTAGAAGGGGCCGTGTAAGGGTTTTCACGATAAAGGTTTGTTTGCATTAGTTTAAGTGAAAAGTGATTTGAGAAACAAAAACTCTCCTGGTAACATGTTACATTAAGATAATAAGTTCGCAAAGACCAGTAGTTCCCTTTTAACTGAGACCATTATTTATTCAAGTTTACTGTGTGAAACGTCCGTTTCAATCTTCACAGATTTTAATAAATTATTTGGATAAGATGTCTTCACAAAGAAAATGCAATGATAGAGCCTTCAAGAGAATAAAGCAACATTAAGCAGCATTATACAATGTAAATGGATTTTGAAAGAATTCAAAGTACGTATACGGTAGACAAACTCTGACCCTTAGCGCATAGTCTTTTCTCTCTTTTTGTTACTTAGAATATTCGATCATGACAAGACATTCTACGTAAAAAATACTTCTAAAAGAAACAGAGAACCGAAGCAGGGGAAAGTCAAAGTGCTGCAAAATTTCGGAAGTTTAGTGGTGCAAAATGATGGTGTTTAAAGTCAAAATGGAGGGTGTAGTAGCAAAAGTACCCACGGGCCTAGTCCTTTTCTGTCAAAAAAGTCTCCTCCTTTGTTCTCATGTACCTCCAGCATCCTTTTTTTGACCCTGAAATATTTTGAACCATTAAATTCAAGCTCAACTCCTTTATTTTCAACTCTCCACTTTGAAGTCTGTGGCGTCGGCCGTATATTCCTTCGCTAAGCGATACTTTTGCCAGCATGAAAATGACTTTGAGAAAATGCCTGATAATTAACCTCTTTGATATTTTTCACTATCTGAAATTGTTTTGTTCCAAATTGATAGTTCAATCTTTTTATCGCATAAATTATTGATCTTGCTGTTTTCTTTATTTTTGTCTGGTTTTGGAAAAAATATCATTGTTCAAGGGCCTGCGAGCAAAGTATTACTAACGGCCCTAAACTGTTCCGTTACGCCGCTGCAGTTACAAATGAACCCGTGACCAATTCGCAAAATGCTTCTTCAGAATAACCTTCACTTACATTTGGAGCGTAAAATAAGGAATACAAAACAATAGGACAAAAGAACACATTTTACAACAAGGACAATAATGGCTAATTATACGACACAAGTAAACTTTCTGAGGCCCAGCTGAAGGTGAGAAAAGCGGAATAAATACAATAGATAAAAGCACAAAAGAGAGGCGCGAAGGCAGATGGTAAACTACCCAGGAATGCACAAAAACGAGAAAGGGTGAATGCTGTCTGTCCCTACCATGAAGATTAGAAAATAATATTATGTGGAAATAAAAAATAGCTGTGAAAAGAAGAAAATAATCCAAGAGATTGAAAATAAAAATAAAACTATGCTTCAACTAACCTAATATTAAGGCCCCGGGGCGCGAAAGTTTCTAACTTATACTGCCAGAAACTTTCACGTATCCTACCATTCCCATTAAGTCTATCTATAATAGTAACTTTAATATCTTCGAGAAACCCATGATGATCCTATATATATATATAAATATATATATAGTATATTAATATTCAATATTAGTTGCATATGTTATGTCATATTTACTGCTATATTTGAATTCCCAGTTATATAAAATGACTATACGCTGCCAAGCATTCACAAAACACCTTAAAACATAACGATCTTGATGTCCTCGACATTAACAAAAATACTGACACTGGATTTTTATGGGTAGTTTCCTCTTAGGTTTGCATTTTTCAATTGATTTTTAGGCTGATAAGATGTCGGAATATTTTCAAAACATTTTTTCGTTGCGCTTTTTACCTTGATCGTCTGAGCATTTTATAGTGTGCGCTTTTGAATATATATAAAACATAACAAAATACAACATAACACAAATGTGTATAAGCCCAGGGGCGCAAATTAAAATTGCTGGATGAGAAATTAACTTACTGTGACAGTAACTGTTGTGTCCACAAGGTAAAAATATTACGTTGCACAGCGAATCATCGCAGCTTTTGCAAGCAGGGAGATGCGGTGGAACAAATAGTTCCACGCCTATGACGTCTTCCTGAATAAAGAAGGTGCTGCAGTATTGATCCGAGGTACTAGAAAATACATTGCAGAAGGCGGCATGCAAAAATAAACATCCATCTAAGCTTCAAACGGATATTAAAAATGTAAACAAAAGCAAATTGATATCATTTCAGGATAGAATTGTGAAAATTCGTTGAAGACATTTGCTAATATTGTTACAAACCAATAAAGGTACAAAAAATAGCAAAACCAAAAACGTTCTTGGTAACTATACTCTGTGAATGCCTTGTGAGCAACTAAATGCATACCAAGTATAAGCAAAAAAACGTTCTTGGTATAAATAACACTGCAAAAACTGAGTAAGGTTATAATAAAAAATTTAAAGCAATAAATATGGACTAACCCTGCATTCACAACATTTCTTGAATAATTCTGCGCATGTTTTGCAAACAGGTTCATGACGACATGGTATAAACCTTGCATCTTTATGATTTTCTCTGCACAAACGACAGTTTTTTATGTCTGGCTCTTTTGAAGTGTTTAATTCTGAAGTGTTATTCGCTGTTACTTTGGTATCCTCTTTCTCAATCGAGCCTTTGACTGGCGCTGTCTCCTGCTGAGGCATTCTCGTCGGCGGGGAGGTCTTGTTTTCTTCTTGGCGGGGAGGTCTTGTTCTTTATAGAAAAAAACATGTTTGCTTACTTTTTTAAATTTTCTAAATACAATTTTCTAAAAAACTCCATTTTAACTTAGGAAACAGGCCCCGTTTGCACTAAAGAAAAAAGAACGGAACTTCTTGGCAGTGTCGAGAAACAGAACGGTTCCACGGCTGTGAGCCAGAGGAGGGTTATGCAGCGATGTAGTAGTTCGGAAGAGGGCCAATGCAAACTTGAAAAGAGCATATAAAGTGAGAGGAATTTACCCTTTCGCTATATCTTTCCGTTTTTCCTGACAAAGCGTAAAGACCAAACTATTAATGATCTACTTGTATCATATTTATAAAAAACTTATAAAAAAAGGATACAGGGATCAATTTTGAGGTACACAAATAGGGCCAAATTTCATCCGGAGGAAGGTTTGGGCGATTTCTGGACTCTGCTCCTTGGTTCCATTCTTGATTTGGCACGATACCGCTTCTTTCATCGCTGAAGCAAAAAGGAATGGAACCAAATTTGACCAACCGTTCCTGACCGTTAACACCAAATGGTTAATACTAGAGAAAACAAGTACGTTTTGGGAACGGAACCCAAGAGTTTCGCTTTTTGGCGAAACCATAGAAAAACGAAATCGTTCCCAAACTAGCACGGAACGAAGATACCTAGTGAAAATGCAAGGCCTATCGTGGCTTTTTCAGGAACAGGGCCAAGCAGTTCCGTTCTTCTTTTCTGTAGTGTAAGTGGGGTCTTAATAGCATTCAGTCAGTTTATTTGGACAGAGTCAAAAAAGACAAATAATGTTTTTGTTAAATTAAATGGAGCAGTAAAAAGGCCTTTTAAGCAAAAATATTCAACCATTGGTATGACCTTAGTCGAATCAGGGGTATGCCGTGCAAAAATACAAGGCTATCAAATATATCAAAGTAACCAGAACAAAGTTATCCAATAACCAATATTAGACGAGCCTATCATATACAAGCTTGATTAAATGAGATTTAATCACGTTTAATATGTGACAGGTAAGCCTCTTCGGTGCCCCTTGGGCTTTGTTTTTGGCACAGACTGCACGATTGTGGAGTTTGTGTTTATTGTAGCAGTGCTCGAGTAAACATTACATTGTGCCTTTAATACTCAAAGCAACAAGCGTGCAAGTGTGCAATGGCCTTGGGTATTCAAATTTTATGTTGGCATAGTTTCATTCTCACATGTTCTCACTCGGATTGTGGAGAGCAAAGGTTTTTCCTTTGCGACCCTGCCCACCCAACCCATGTCTAGGTATTCTTCAGATTGTTACATGCACGTTAACTTTATATTTCTTTTCTTCGTGCATTAGTTAATGGCCGTATGGCTTGCGACTTTTGCATGAACAAGGTGTTGCTTGTCGGCGGAAGAAGCCATTGCTTCTTCTTCTCAACCCCATCAAAAACGGTTGGGGTTTTATTTAAGACCGTCTTTGCGATTGGCGCACCGACAGCCCAAGAATAAATGGTTCAAATGATGAGAGAATGCCACTTTCAGTCTTATGATTGACAATGGTAAAATATTCTGATTACCATCTTACCCTTATATGCTAACGGTTTTTGTTTGGTAACCTGGAACGAATATTAAAGTAAAATACTTCATGTCTGTATAGAAAACTACCTTTTCCGCTCTTCGAACTTTTTCAAAAGATCTTTGATATTTTGGTCAGAAACTGCACCAATGACATCAACTCCTTCGTCGTTGCGTATGGATATGTCGGCACCTATTTCAACCAAATAACAGGCTATCGCCACGCTACTTGCTTTTGGCTTCTCAAACTGGGCGACAATCTGCAATAAAAAAGCAGACGGTTTGAAAATTCAATTAACATACCGTACAATGAAGATACAATACAATGAAGATACAATTACGCAAACAAAATCAGCAGCGAACAGCTAGAGCGTTATATCAAAACAATGTTGCATCTTTCTTAGTACTCCAGAGTTCGTTTCTAGGTAAGATATCGTTCCTAAAGTGCTAACTAATTGCCTAACCTCAGATGCATTATTCAACACCTAAAATTAAATTGAAAAGATAGAAGTATGTGGGTGTTGTTCCACGTTTTATGTACATGTTATTTTCCAACCGTGATTTGTCGAGTTAGCCCCTCAGTTGAAGAATTCCCCAACCTCGAAGCGAATTTTTTAATAATCTTCCATATGTAAAATAAGCCCCATTTCATGCAACGTAGAGCTGATTTCATAAGTCCCCTTGAATAAGTCTCTTTCGAATTAGCCACTAACAAAAAACTGCTTAGAAAACAAATTCTCCAGGGGGGGGGGGCAAATTAAAGAATGTCCGGAACTTGAGATGCAAGGAGCAGTCCCTGCGAAAGACTGTATTGAATTACTGGTGTACAAAATTCTTAAGCAAACACTAATTGCTCTTCAGTTCAATTTTATAAGAACAATTTTATAATGGCTTTGAAAAAGCAAAAACTTTAAAAGAACACGAGCCTCAAAATTGGTCAAAAGTTAAGAACAAATTAAGAACAAGCTGAGGCTCAGCTACTGTAAAATGATTTTTAGCTATGTGTGGGTGCTTTTCGGGTGAAAATTTAAACTTTTCGACAGTTGTCTAACTCACTTTGTTGGCAAGAGCGAAAAAGCTAGAAATTGCACTGCTAGTTTCCAATCAATTTAAGAACAAAATAAGAAAAATCCAGCCTCAGCATTTTGAAGAAAATAAGAACAGTCAGCCTGAACTTAAATTTACTGGTTCTTATAAAAAAGAGTGTATGTCACCAATAATTCATACATACGCTTGGTACTTCCAGGGATACTTCACCAAAGACGTCGCTTGCCAATAATTTAAAAAGCTCATGTTTTTTCAAAACAACATGGAGACTCGTATCTCCATCTTCATCTTGCATATTTATCTCAGCTCCCCGGTCTAATAGCGTCTTCAACATCCCCATATATCCTTCTGTAGCTGCAAGCATGAAAGGAGTCTGACCTTTTGTGTTCTTTTGATCTATCACACAATAGCCCTATAAAATAAGCAACTATTTTGTAACCTCAAGAAAAAAATTGTCCTTCTCTTGGAATGAGTACGACGAATCACACATGTAGTTTAGCGAGGCGCCTGATAGAGAATGGAAAGCAAAATGTTCAATTAAAACACTTTTGAAAAATCATGCTCATAATAAAAAAAAGTTTGATCAATTTTAGGTACATCGTTAAGACCTTGTTCAGCTTGGTGCACATCGGATCCATACGAGATTACCTCTGAAGGCAATCACAAACGTGTTCGGATAGCGAATCCAAAAGCTTTCGATTCGAAAGGCCTATCCAAATTTCCTCTACGTGTTGATTGATCTTCAGGTCCTAATCTTTAAATTAGGCAATCCCTCTGCTATAAAAACATGAGAATTCTTACGTCATATCGGAGAACTAAGCTTTGCTGAAAAAGAATTTGAGTATCAAAGTTTTGTGTATTGATCGAGTTTGGTATTTTTCGCCCTCAAAATCAAGAGATCGAAATCGAGAGAGTAAAAGAACGCGCGTCGAGACTTCTGTATCTACTCATTAAATTGATCTACCAATTTCCTTGTAAATGGTAGGCTTGTTTCAGTCCAATCCTCTAAAAATTCTCTCAACATCAAATTGAACTTTGTATGGAAATTTCTAAGACGTTGAAAACTTGAATCCGTTAAGTATGAGTATCTTTTTTAGTATGAGGACTTAAAATCATTTGCCATAAAATCTGAACAATTTGAATCAGTCTTTGGCAAATAAATTTAACCTTTGGTTCCAAAAGCCGTAAAATCACGAGACGAAAGTCTAAAATTGTTTACCGGGTGGATTTAAATAAGCTGAAGACTTAAATGGACCAATTTTTGACGAAAAAACAAATGTATAAATGCATGTCAGGCACTAGAAAAGTGCTCAGGCGCCATCACCTGACAAAGTTTGTTAGCTATAGCTTTTTGAGGATAGGGTATCGGAGTTAGCTGGATTGCTTAAGGAGAAAGCCTCAAAAAGACAGTTGATACAAAGGTATGTCCTCGTTGAGGTACAGCTCTTTGTCAATTGTGCAATGTCAGGAGTAACTGTGAAAATTGCAGACCTACGGGAACTGCTAGAGAACCGAATATTAATTACTCGTTGAATTATGACCTTTCATTTTTTTCTATTGATAATAAAAAATAATAGCTATCTCAACATGTTTGCAAAATAATGCCACAACTAAGGGCTTGTAAGTCCAAAAAATAGCTAGGGTGGGGCGCATCACTCAATGCTGTGACGTAGAAGATGACAACCTCTACATTGCAGACTTGTCTATTATGGTCTCTTCACTGTTGTTTTTTGGTTCTTTTACACATATAATGGGCAGCTCTCTGAAGATTTTACCCACCGCTAACCCTTGCATCACACACTCGTGTGCTTTCTTCTGACCCTCCTATACACCTTCACTTGTTTTATTGATTCTTTTGGCACAGAAGAATCAAGGTTTGGCTAGAAGTGGTTCGATACAGTTGGGAGGGAATTGTGGAAACAATTTTCCTTCTGTAAGCGATTAGATATACAGGTGTGTCAGTGTACAGCCTAAAATGTCCCATTGTAAACAGGGCGTGTTCACAAGCTAGTGAATAACATAGGGAAAGAGACAAACCTGATTGAGAATATGCAACACTATGCCTTCATAGCCATTTACAACAGCGAGGTGCAGTGCTGCAAAGCCATCCTCTTTCTGCACGTTAACCAGTTCAGGAACTTTCTCCAAGATTTTTGTCACAATCCTGTAAGAGATTTGATCAACACGTTTGGGTCAACGTGTCAATTCTACAAACACTGTTTAATAATAATAAAATAAGGTGCATATCATGCAATAATTAAAAGTGCTTAAAATTCCGTCAAATCTAGATTTCTAGATTGGTCACTGGCTTTTTCCTTAGACAACAGAGATAATAAAATCATCTGATGGCTTTATCAAACCTTTATCATTATCATTTGCTGACGGACCGATTTATTCTTTGAGCATAGATATTATAGAGTCAGAAGAATTCCCCAAGATTCGAAGTGCATAACGAACCTGATCTTTGACAACTGTGGTTTCAGACTGGAATGCAAAGGTTGATATTTTGAGGCTTGACAATCACTATTAATTTGGATGTTAGATTCAAAACCTAAGGTGCTCGATCAGGTAAAGAGTTGAGTTGCTGAAAGTTAGAACAAAATCTGGCCTAAGGGAATCATCAATAATTAGGCATGGAGATGTGGGCAGATCAGCAAACACTTTATAGTTTTTTAACAGAGCTCTAACAAGAAAAATAAGAACTGAGTTGCTGCGCCAGGTGCATCTAGCCTCGTCCAGACATGATTTGCAGCGTGAGGAAACTTACTGGAGGTTTCATACTGGAAGCAGAAAGAGGATGCAGTTGTTCGAGAAAGCGACCACTTAGTGAGATTTTTCCCTAATGGCAAGGGTGTTGTTTAGTATTTCATGGTAAATAGCATGTCTGTTTTGTTTGAAATGCACTTTACCATGAAATCTGCTGTACTTTGGACCATAGACAACGGGGCGTTTTGCTGGCATGTGTTGGAATGAAAGTGATTAAGAGACCCTGAGCTAAGAAGTAAGTTCGTGTTTAGTACGCTCTTCTTTGTCCTTTTGAATGGAATTCAACATTTGCTTTGTGTGTTTCGGGACTGGTCGTACTGGACAACCGACGCTTCATGTGATGATAACGGCAATCTACGTGTCACTATGCTGTGATCGTTGAGCCCATAGCAAAAAGGGGGCAGAAGTGGAATATGAATATAAACTTTATCAACATGTCAAACTCGTAATTAGCTGGTATTGTGTCATGTATCACTTTCGGTACACGTATTCTGGAGGCTAGAATTTCGTTTTTTGAAAATGACGGAAACAGGGCCTACAACACGCCTAAAGGCGATCTTAGAAGGCTGACTCCAATCAGGGCAACAATTATTCACATACCAAGCAAAGACTTCTTTGACAATGCAATAGCAAAGATGACATTAGAAATCGAGAAAAAGATTACAGAGCAACTTGTTTTACGCGACGAAAAGATTATGAAGCTTGAGGAAAAAATTGCCGATCTTGAATGCAAACTAGAGTCTGTTTAACTTCTTGATAAGAAACTCGATGACAAATTACAATGTTATGGAATTTCTGGCAGTTTGCCCATGCTTCTTCAAGACTTTCTTCATAATCGCAAACAAAGGGTTATCTTAAACGGCCAGGCTTCTGACTGGCAAATGGTATCATCAGGGGTACCCCAAGGCTCTGTACTTGGCCCTCTACTTTTTTCAATCTATATCAACGATAAAGTAGACAATATTGACTGTGAAATTAGGCTCTTTACAGATGATACATCACTATTTTCTATGTTAAATGATGTAACTCAGACTGCTTTGAAGATAAGTGAGGACTTAGGTAAAATTAAGAAACGGGCTTGCCAATGGAAAATGGAATTTAATGCTGATAAAACTGAAGAAGTTATCTTTTCTGCATAAAAATAGCAACCATTCCATCCCTCAACTTAGCTAGGAAATCCAATTATTACTAGAAAGAATGAACACAAACATCTTGGAGTAATATTAGATTCTAAACTAAACTTTCAGTCACAGGTTAGAGAAGCTGTAATAAAAGCTAGGAGGGGCATTGGTCTCATAAAATACCTCTCAAAATGTTTCTAGAGATGTTCTAGATCAAGTTTACAAGCTTTATGTAAGGCCTCACCTAGACTATGGAGACATAATATATCACAAGTTTGACCCAGATATGAGAAGCACTGTCACAAAAAGCATTGAACAAGCTCAGTATACGGCGGCTTTGGCTGTCACAGATACCTGGAAAGGGACCAGCAGGCACAAAAATATGAGGAATTTTGATGGGAGTCGATGTATAACAGAAGATGGTATCGAAGATCATGCGATCTTTTCCTGAGCGACAGATACCTTACATGATTCGAAACACACGAAATTATGATCCAAATTTTTGTAGGACAGATCGTTTTTCTAATAGCTATTTTATAAACACAATTTATGGATTTAATCTTCTCGAAAGCGAAATAAGAAATTCAAAATCAATTTGAGAATTTAAACGTAAATTCTCTGTCTTTGTCTTTAATAAGACACACAAAAAACCGGTCTTTGTAAATTCTACAGTAAGGGGCACAAGGAGCTACAGTAACAAGATACTTAACCCAACTTCGATTGCGATTCAGCCCTTTAAAAGCGCACCGTTTTAGACACAACTTTGATTGCCTGAGCCCCTTGTGTGTTTGTGGCGCAGGTGTTTGTGGAACAAGCATTTTTCCTGCACTGCCATTTGTTCGAAGCAATGCGGAACGAGCTCTTTGGTTGGCTTTCTGAAGTCCCTGGACTTAAAATTTCAAACCTCTCCGCAACGGAAATTTTTGAAGTAATACAAAGAGATTCTTTAGATTGAAAAACACAACAGCAGCAACGTCTTTTTATTTTTTTAATTTCTTGATCTACCTCTGAAACATGTAAATTATGTAAAAACTTGTGTGTAAATTTTTCTAGAGGTACCTTACTTTTCCTGATTTAGTTTCTTTTTCTTCTTCTTCCTTTTTTGCGTTTATATTTAGATGTAATTGAAAATTGTAAATGTCACTCATAATGGAGACTAGATGACCTTGCATCCTTCACTATTCTAAGTGGCATGTATTTGAGTAGCTTTGGTGGTGGTTTAAAATTTTAAATGATAAAAAAAACACTTGTGTTGGCCCGCATGAGGCTAAGTCCAGAGTGAGGGGGTTACGTATGACTGCCTGGCACTGTGTAAATTTAGAGGAAGGAAGAATACGAGTGATGCCGTATTTTCATTTTGGTAAGAATTAGACACAAGACTAGGCCTCAATGAATCTTCTGTAATTAATGTGGGTGAAGAAAGAGTGGACAGATCAACGTATAGAGAGCATTGTGGTGAAGATGAAAATGTATTCGCTAGACATAATATAACCAGGTTATGCATCAAAGTATATCTACCATGTTCAAGGTTGGGCTTACAGCTTGAAACAATAAGCTTGTAGGCAGAAAAATCAAGCAGATGTTTTGGACAATGACCATTTGTGAAGGGTTTTCCATGTGACGAGTTTGTTATTCGGGTACTTAATGGAAAAGTTGAAAATATTCCGTGGCATAATAATAATAGTAATAATAAAAATGGATCGAAACTAGTATAATCACAGAGTCGCTCTGCACATGGTCCTCAATGTACAAACCGTGATTTCAAACTTGAGGAAACTAAAATAAAAGCATATTAAATAAAGCTCATTTTAGCAGTTTCAGATTGACGATCTCTTTTTTGCTTTATACTCTGTTTTCTTACAGAAGCATTTAAGCTTTTCTACATTTCCTGAACAAATTCTTTCCGAATTGAATTGCTGGAAATTGCGTATACAGGCATCGGCGGTAAAAAGTGAACGACGAAATGTATCAAATTGAAAAAGGACTGTGAGGGGGGAATAAGAAAAAGTTCAAATAATTCAAAACTTCAAATAAGAAATGCTCCAAAACTTACTCGTTTTTTCCAGAAAAAACAGCATGATGTAAAGGATTAAATCCTCGCCGATTCACAATTGTAAAGTCAATGTTTTTTAGCTCAATAAGGAATTCAACGGACGGTTGCTTATCCTGTCCGATAGCATCGTGCAAGGGAGTGTCTCCAGCTGTATCCTTGAAAATAAAAAGCCGAATGCGAGAACCCTCTCAGAGCATTTAAAGGCCAAATTGACGAATTAAATTTTGCACTGGCAAGACTAACCTGATAACTAGAAAACTGAAACTGGCTTACTGGGTTACTGGCTAACCTGAGCTATAGAGCCTGTGGCGCCATCGATAAACATTTTTAAAAATATAGGAATTAACTCTATTTAGTAATTTTTCAAGATATACTGTTCTATGTTTCTGAAAATAATTTTAATGTATTTCATACGCAGTTTTGAAGTAAATTGCATATTTGCGAAAGCGTATAATATATTCAGACTACAATACATAACGAAAGGAAGTATTTAGATCTTGAATTCTCAATTTCTTCTATTTTACAAAGCTTCTCTCTTATATCACAATTCGTACAGCAATATTATTGAACTATCAATTCTAGAGATCTGGAGCCTATTAACCTATCTTATTCCAAAACACCGTTTGGAGGCATTTTTTCGAAAATAGTCATGAATTCATGCTCTTCAGAAACGTATATCACATCAAAAACGTACAATAAATCAATACCTGGGTATTTACGTCAGCCTTGGCATCAACAAGAATTTTCATGACTTCGACATGTCCTAAGTAAGCAGCGCAATGAAAAGCTGTCATTCCCTTTCCGTTTGATTTGTTCATTGCCACACCTTTTTTAACCAAGATCTTTACAATATCCACACGCTTCCTAAAGTTGAAATATCAGTAGTTATAACGATAAACAATTGAATTCGGACAATTAAAGAAGAAATTAAGGCGAATCGGGATATAGCAACCCGATTAACCTAGTGTCATACATGTCGAGGTGTTATTAACTGTATTGACGTAATACAGGCTTCGATAGGTAGGCTTTGAAAGGTAGGTTTTAAGAGATAGGTTTTGATAGGTAGGATTTGATAGGTAGGTTTGTGATCAGATATCGTTCTTTCTACAAGCTCGCCGGACTCTAAATTTCAACCTCCTAGCCGACACCTGAAAATGGGTATAAAAAAGTGTAGAGGGGCATTAGGAGGGGCAAAAGGTCCACGACGAGCCCTCCGATGGGGCCTTTGCTCCGATGGAGCCCGTAATAATCTTACACCATGTAAATATCAGATTATTACAAGATCTTTTTAAAATACAAAAACCTACTTCTTGCGACTGTTGAGTTTATCACAGATACAACCGATGTCCACATTTCCTTGATTCATGAAAACAATATTTTTGCATAAAAATTGACTAGACTTTTATGTATTCAAAAGCTCTAGACTATTATGTCTTTTAAGACATCTTTATATGTATCAAAATATATTTATATTCCCTAGCTTAAAATCTTCGTTAATTATTCTATCATTTCATACTATGAAGAGTATCAGACGAAAAGCTTGAGCATGTCTTAAAACATCTGCGCGGTTCAAATCCTTTTTCAAATTTTGCACCACCTAAAAGTGTTTGCATCACCCGACTTTTCGACAGCTGCAATGTATATCTTAGACGGCACGTCTTGCTTCGTATTGCTTGAAACACGTTTATACTGCTACAGAACATAAAGATGCTGATGACTTACTTCAGAGATGCGCGGTGAAGGGCAGTGTCACCATCTTTGTCCTGAAGAAACCAAAGAGGATCGTATTATACTACAGAGATAAATCAGCTCCAAACGAAAAAAATAGACTTTGCGGTTAATTTCCACGGCACAAAATGAATGATGGCAGGATGACCATTGCGAAGCCTTTTTGGATATACAAAGATTAACCTATTGCTTTCCTCCAACGGCAGATCTTTATCATAGTTAGGTCTGTTAATTCAAAATCTTGCAACAATTGTGCAAAATATGATACCAGTATGAAAACTTCACAACTTTTGTAGTTTCGGGTGTAGAATATGATGCGAAACTGACCCAAGCTGAAAAACTCCCCAAAAAGCTATTTTGATCTTAAGTTAACTTTGCATCATATTCCATGGATTAGATCGTAAATAATTACCAAACTCTGCGCAGATACACAGACTACGTGAGGAATTGGACCAAGTAAATTGTTTAAAAAATAGATAATGTGGCACCTTAGGGACCTTATTTGCTTTGCATGACATTTCACACCTAAAATTATATATGAATACCAAATTTTGCGGAAAAATACTTGTTAAATCGTTTACAAATGATATTTTCATCATTAGGATGGGGTTGATAGTTTTTAAAATAAAAATGAGGTAATTTATGGACCTTTATTGGCATGAAATTTCACCCTTCAGTTTGTGTATGATTTTGCAGACATACCCTCGTTATATCACTCGCAAATGACTACTTTCAATTGAGAACTGGAACAAAGTTCGATGTTCTAAAAATAGTTTTTTGAGGAACTTTCGGCTTGGGTCTGTTCCACATCATATTCTACAGCTCAAACTACGTAAGTTGTGTAGTTTCCATACTGGTATAATATTTTGCACAATTTTTGTGTCTTCAGACCGGAGTTGGTATCATATTTTGCACGATTGTTGTGCCTGCAGACCGAAGCTGGTATCATATTTTGCATGATTGTGCCTGCAGACCGGAGCTGGTATCATATTTTGCACAATTTTTGTGCCTGCAGACCGGAGCTTGTATCATATTTTGCATGATTGTTGTGCCTGCAGACCGGGGTTGGTATCATATTCTGCACGATTTTTGTGCCTTCAGACCGGACTATCGTTCAAGTGGAAACAAAGAGTGTTCGGCTTTCCGGGACAACCATTCTGCAAATATACCAGACAGCAACACACAGCAACGGATCTCTTTCTATTTCAACGCGTAGTTTCTTTTGCCACTCTAATGCAGACAAATATACGATTCAAATATCACATTCTGAGAAATTATACGTTTTGATATTATTATATTTTTACTAACTAACAATCAATTTCGTGGTGAATAATTCGCTAGCATATAACTTAATATATATTTATAGCAAGCAAAAACTAGCAACAACGCACCTCTTTATTAACATCTGCTCCATTTGACAACAAAAGTTCTACAAATTCTTTTTTTCCAGCATCGCAAGCTATATGAAGGGCAGTTAAGCCCTCCTTGCTGTGATTGACCTAACAGTTAATAAAGAAGAAATAGATAAGACTAAAAGTGCTTGATAAATGAGTACCTTGCAAAATTGCCAGAGGTAAATTCAGTGACAAGACGTTATTTCATAAAACACGAAGAAATATAACAAGATATCATGATTACAGGTTCAATAAAGAAAGTCTACCTCCACCCCCCCCCCCCCCCCCTACCTCTCATTTTGCGATGGTTTGCCGTAACCATAAATTTGGCCGAACTTTTCATAAGGAATAGACGAGAGTTTACTTTAAAGTGCATATGAAACGCACATTTTTATTTGCTCTAATTACTATATCGACTATGCTATCATGAAAAAAAAACACAAAACACCTTCGAAGTTACGGAAGTTTAAAAGTCAACTGTTTGCTTCAAAGCCTGTCATAGAGGGCTGGATCTAGTTTTACAGGAAGTGACGTAAAATGGTTATGTTAGTGCACAATTTTAGACTGCTTTCCAACATAAAACAGTACGACAGAGTTCTACTTGCGAGTCAGTGAACATGTCCGTTTGCGAATATTTCAGTTTGATGGCTTCAACATTTGAATAAAGTGAAGAGGAAGAGCTTGTATGTGCTTCTGGTGGGCCATTTTTACGATAATAGAATGAACCACTCCTTTCTTCGGCAGAAAATTCGGACCGAGTGTCAGGCAAAGCTGTCGGTCGACAGAGACCAGCAGAAGACGAAGATGCAATAAGGAATTATTACTCTGAGTGAAAGGCAAGTAAGATAAGTCATAAAAGCAATTATTAAGTGAAAAATTGACTACTCGCTGTGCATCGTTCCTTTTTCAGTCACCATAGCACGATAAAACCATGTTTGAAATTTCTTAGCCCATCTATTTGAATCCACCTATTTGTCCCAAACCACCCAGAGCAGAATTCCAAAACATAACACTTGATTAATGTATGAAAAAAATTAATCACATCATTATCATTATTTTACTATGATACGCGTGTTTCTGAACCGGTAACTAACTTATATTTACGGAATTAGCCCATATTTTTATATCTTTTAGATAACTAGCTGCCATCTAAAGCATTTCAACATTTCATAATTGCCACAGTTTCATGTCTTGATAAACCTTTTTTGGTTTGAGGACTGAAGGTATAGCATCTCGTCGAATTTGAAATTAGGGGCAAGGCTGGCTCATTTGTTAGAGTCGCCAACTCTCTTGATTCGCTCTGGTCGCGCAACTTGGCGAAATCGAATCAACAAGTCAGCGCATCGGCGAACGCGACCAGTCGCCCAGAATTCCAACTGACCTGAACTACTCAGCGAAAGGTCGCGCATTCGCAGCGAATGAGGAAGTTCAACTTGCGCATGCTCCAACGTGCATTCGCTCAGTCGTGCGACTAAAGCGAATAAAGTGGAAACCCGTCTTAATTCCAGGCGTAGGAATCACGAGGTGTGAGCATATCGAGAGGAAGGACCAGGACACTGCTCGATAAGCATAAGCTTCTCTGCAAAAAAGTGAAGGGCCATGGCCAATCCCCTGGCCCAGCGGTGTTGAGTAAAATGATGGCTCTACATCTTTACGATGCAATTTGATTGCACCCAAAAATTTCGTATACTTTGGTCTTTTGGTAAGCTATGCAAAGTAATACCAAGCGGCAAACTTCTGTTGATGCGGTTATTTCCAGAGGGCAGTCCAGCAGATGGCAGTCCAGCAGATGGCAGTCCAGCAGATGGCAGTCCAGCAGATGGCAGTCCAGCAGATGGCAGTCCAGCAGATGGCAGTCCAGCAGTTGGCAGTTCAGCAGATGGCAGTCCAGCACAACAGTATCTTCCTCCGTAATCTCTGTTCCTTCTTTTTGTGACAAATTCAAAAGAAGAATTCGACAACCACATTCACACATGCTTGTTAAGTTCAATTTACCCTTTTGGAAAACACGCAGCAGTGGTGTTTTCGTTCCCTAGAGCCGTGCACACTGATTTACAGTAATGTGTCACAGTTGAGTATTCCTAATTGATTTTCCGACATTAGATGACATTGCTTTGAGTAACCCAAATAAACACGTTACAATAACGCAAAATTTATATCTAGGGGACAACAGTATATCCTTCCCATAGTGAAACCATGCAGCTGTTTAGTCTTATTCAAAGAATACACGACCATTTTTCTTCACAGGGGTCACATGCAGACCTCATTAATCTGCGCGAGTGGGGCTCGCAGGCACAAAAGCTCGTGCTCCGAATTTCTGCAGGCACTTTTCTGAATCGATTTTTATTTGTCTATAATTTCATTCAATCATGCTTTCTGTTGATATCTTCCTTGGTATTGAAATTGAAATGTCAAGTAGAATTCCAAAGGCTTCAGTTGTAAATCTTTATTACCCAAATAACAGGGAATTGTTGCCCCTATGGCGCCAGTTTGACACTCAATTGCCAAAATCAAGTTAGCTGTTTATCTTTTTCTCCCTATTTCTCCTTGATGAATCAGATCACTTTCAACCAACTGTTTGATCTTTTTTGTCGAGCAAAGTGTAATGACTTGAAAAACTCCATCGTGTAGAGTAAGCTGGCGAAAGCAGGCTTCTTGAAGGTAATGTCGTCGAGCATGGCGTCTGGAAACTATCGCGTTAGCACTGGTGGATTTAAGGAGGGGGCAACTAGGGGCAGTTGTCCCTCCCTCGACGAGTTCCAGAGAGTCTGTGCCCCTTTTTGCAATTTTTGCGCCCAATTTGAGTAATGAGAATCAGGTGAAAAGTTTCTGAGACCGTTCGGTTAATTTGCTTCAAGGATTACCTCAAAGTTATGTTGTTTATTCTGAAAATGGATCTGAAATTGTTGTATACAGCGTACTTTCGTCAACAATTTTTGAAAAATTTTCAGCGCCCCCACAACCAACTGCCCCTCATTCAAATTTGCTCTGGATCCGCCCCTGCGCGTTAGTGCAAGTAAGAAAAGTAAAGTAAAATGCAGAGTATGTCTGTCTGAAGTTTTGGAGCAAAATTACAAGGTACACCTCCAAAGAATTCACCAAGAAAAAATTCCGGCGATTTGCGACAACACAAACAAGCCTGTATTTCTTCAATTTTTGGAGTGAAAGCGGGACAGAAAAGAAAACTAGGTCGTCCAGACACCGTCACTGATTTAGAACCGGTTGCAAAACGAGCCTTAGATGAAACAGATGCTTATAAGTGTGCCACTACTTCAGATTCACATTTGGTTTCTTGTGAAGAGCATTCTGCACAGAGAGGTTGAAGGATTGAGTTCATCAACCCACACAGAGAAGGAAGGCAATGAGGGTGTGTTGTCGGACTTGCTCATGCAGTTAATCGGAAAGCTCGGGAACATGTCTATGAAAATTGACAAAATTCATGAAGTGATTAGAGATAAAACTAAGGAGAAATAAAAGCCAACAATAGCCATCACTCGAATAATTGATCCTTTTCTACCCGAGAGCTTTTTAATGGGCAGTTGCTGTTCATTAGCTGAAATCCTTACAAAATTTTGTGAATCTCGCTATGAAAACGAAAAATTAGCACATCTGAGATCTGCTAATCACGTCAAGGAAGTCAATACAAGCAAAACTGCTGATGAACCAGTTGAGAAATATGACAAATGGGAGCACTTAGTGGGAAAAAGATTGGCCGGATCTGCTACTACCCTTTCAAACTAGGGGGACCTGATACAGATTTTGAGCCTCTCGCATACCTGCATTTTGCGAATCAGTCGGATATTGGGCGCATTAACCATTCAAATAACTTTCTTGCAAAATTTTTACTGTTTATGTCAAACGAAGTTAAGAATCCCTCGACAAATTTTTTTGCTTGCCCCTTAGAACAAACAGGTTTTTGACCAGCAGGAAAGATTGGAGCTGATAAAGCAACATAGAAGCACAGATCTCAGCAGTTTGTAACATTTACATTCCTGATTCTCTTGATGTGCTGCATGCATTTTCCCTTGGTCATCCTGTGGTAAAACGTCATAACAGTGAAAGGGTTACTGGAAGCATTGCAGAATGCCTTCAACAATATGATATCGCCCAGTCTCAGTATCTTGGAGGGTCATTTGATGGTGCGTATTTCTCTCTTGGCGTTCCCGATCGACTAGACTTCTATTTTGGGCTCAGCGGAGACAAGAAAAAGCACCATGATTGGGGTCCTCTCCATAGAGCCGGGTTGCAAGACACCCACATACGAAAAGATCCACACTATGCTTGGTTGGTTTTTTGCTCAAGAACCATCGGCAGAATCTTTAAAGTATTCAATTTCGGCAAAGAATTTTAGCATTTTTATTATGTAGCCAAGCAAATGAAAGAGGGAGGAGAAGTTGATATCAGCTTCCAAATGCCCAGTGCCTTTTCGGAAACAAGGTTTACAAATTATGCAAGGAGAGTATACTACGCTTTTTAGGAAGATTTTCTAGCTATTATCAGAATGTTAGAAGAAACTCAACTAAAGAAGCTAGGGAAAGGCAGCGAAGGCCGCAAGAAAGGAGCAGTGGCAAGTGCGCAATCAAACAAAAGATTTGTCACACTCTTGTCTGGAATATGTGACATTTATGAAGTTTTTGGTCACGGTGTCAATATTCTCCAGACTGTTAATATGCTGTCTAGAGATAGGTTTACAAGATTCGAATCAACAGTCATTTAAAGATATCATGAAATGTTGTCTTCAATAGATTATCAGGCTTGCCGAACACCGAAAAAGGAATGTCTTTGGCCACTTTTACACAAGGATTTGGTTGATATCGAGCATGGCAAATACAGAGGGATGCCACTTGCACAACCTCACCGTGAAGAAAATAAGATGAGACAGGGTCAAAGCAGACAGGCCAGCAACATTCAAGAAGAGCAGCAAGGGATTGTTATTAAACAGGCAATAGCCACACTGCAGAAATTTGTTGAAAGGTTGTCCAGTGATTTGGCTCACAATGTTTATGATGAGAAAGACCTGACATTTCTTGATCTTATAATGCCCCTCGTTGATCTTAGGTCTCTAGCACTAAGAATTAAAGAAAAAGGATCACAGCATGTAGCTGCACTCAAGGGCTATCAGTTTATCTCAACTGCAAAAAAAGTAGCAAACAGCTTAGCAGATGTTCCTGACCACGAGCTGAGAATTCAGTTCAGAGAGTTCGTGAGAAGATTGGAGAACATAATTGCACCTCTCCACAAAAAAGGTATCTGCAGCCTTGACCTAATTAAAACATTTCTGAATAAAAATTTTAAACATTATTGCAATATAGAAATGATTCTCCATAGCATATGTGTCGTTGCTGCAAGCATGTCAGCCGAATCTGTCATTGAATCGATTGTATCAATCTACGAAAGCAGAAATGAAAAATGTAGATCGTTATCAGAGGAAAGAGCAGAATTCGAGATGATGATTGCCGTAAATTGCCCAGCTTTAGAACATGCAGACCATGTTATAGAAGCAAGCATGTAAAATTACTGGAAGGGTAAAAGAGGCCCTTCTTGGCACTTTGTACGACGATCAGAAATTGTAAAAGATTTTATTGCATCAAAAGTCATCAGTCGTAAGATAAATGCATAACCAAACTGCCATTCGTGTCATGATTGTTGCTTTATACTGAAATCAAACGGAATGAAATAGTAGTTGAAGTTACATAGTAAAAAACTGATCAATGGCATGGTTCTTTAACTTTGTTTAAAGAAACAACAAATCTTACAACTATTTCAATGAAATGAAAATAAAATCCTGAATCACTAGCCATGAAAAAAGCTGTGAATTGAACCAATAGCTTGATCTAAAGTGAAAAATTCAAAACATTGGAGAGTCCTTTTACTGAAGATGTCTTTATTTGATGAAACACATTGCTTATTATTTTTATGTACACGTTATATATTGCTATGCCATCTCAGCAATTGCTATGCCATCTGTTAAGTTTTATATGCAGTTTAAGTTCATGATAATATTGATATGATTTTGATATACGTTAAGTTGGTATAACACTAAGCGCAACCAGAAAATCAGATTCAAAATTTATCAGTATCAGTATCTCAAGCTGCACCTTATATTATTTGCAGGCACATTCTTCACTCGGCTTTCCGCTCACATCACCAAAGGTCCGACTGTGCTTTTGTGTGAAACATTTATGTCGTATGCGTGTCGTGTCGTATGCATGTCGTGTCGTATGCGTGTCATTTCGTACGCATGTCGTATTAAGGAATATATTTCAGTGGAACATACCAGTGCTGGTTTATTTTCCAAAAGACGCTTGGCTTTTGAAACATCGTTTTCAATTACAGATAAAAAAATCAGGTCTTCACTGCCATTCATCGAAAATCCAGAAAGCAAATCCGCCAGGAAAGAGCCAGACGTTTTATTACCTGTTTGAGAAATAAACCATCATTATCTTGATTCATTATCTATTATCGTATTGGTCAGCCTCAGCCTAACTCTTTATTGATCAAAGACTGGCAGACGCACAACAAGGAATTTTCGACGGCAGAGGCCAAAGCCACAAAAAGGGAGATTTTATCAATTTCTAGCATCGATTTAAACTCGATATAAATTTTTTCAAAAAGGTTAGATAATCAGCGACAGTATTAGGGACTGCGGCGCCTGTGGCTGTAAACATCTGCGGGACCCTTGTTCTTTACAATTTTTATTCTTTTCCTTGGGGGAGTGGCTACAAGCGCGGGGCCCCTAAAATCACCACTTTAAAAACTTCCCCTAGCCTGCTGCACTATGAAGGCGTCAACGACAGCACCAGGGACGCCGGAGAAAGGGGGCGCGGGGGTCAACCACCCCTGTTAGCTTTTGATAGAAGGGGCAAGAAGGGCCAGAGTGCCCTTTTCATAAATGTGCCCTTGAAGCCAGCCAATTGTAATAATCAGAGAGATTCGTATAAAATTCTGATTTAGTGCTTAATTCATGATGACATTTCTCAAAACTTGTAAAATAAATCCTTATGACAAAAATTAACCAATTTTCAAGATATCCACAGATAGTCGGGAGTTATCTTTCAAATGCACTTTTACTCAAACCTGCCCCCCCCCCACTTGCCCCTTGGTCGTTCTGTGGGGAACTTCTGTTTTCAAAATCATACCTGTGCCCTTTCGATCTCCAATTAGTGTAGTGGAATTAGATATAAAAACGGTCTAGCCCGCACAAAAATAATATAAAGCTGAAATTTGGCACAGATGTCCTATACTATGTTGGAAATGACCAAAAAAAGCCCCATCGATTGGACATTGGGAATTCCTTATTTGGGCAAATCCTATAATGGCGTAATTATCAGCAGGGGTTCAAGTTTTGATGTTGCTAGAACCACATTGTATGCACATCTTTTGAAAGAGAATTTCATGCGCAGTTAAGAGTCCCGTTAAACTTTCAGTAATCCGTGTATTATTTTGGAGGAAATCTAACACATCTAAAATGCACATGGGCCCCTATATGTTAGTAGGCCAATGGGCCCCAATGGGAAATGTGGCCCTGTTTATATCTATTTTTCCATGTAACTCTATGTGAAAAATCTTGATATGATTATAAACGAAATCAAACCCGAACAGGGCCCTAGCTCCTTTTGCAGAATTATCGTGGCCCTTTGCTTTTGGCAATTATCTTTACTAGAACAGAAAGAAAGACAATTTAAACACTTTCTGGGCAGCGCAAAATCTCTAGCAATGCAAAAAACATCAAGGAAATTTTTTGCCTCACATCTGCAGTCATGTTGTATCCCTATATCGTAGTCTATTCATTTCGTTCACTAACGCTTTACGTTAGAATTACAATGAAACTCACCTGTTGGATTGTTGTTGGGTCCATTCGACGTCTTTTTCGTAAGTGCAGCAGGACTGAATGTCCAGGATATCGCCCCAAAACCAACCTTGATGTCACCATCACTATCAATTTCTTTAATGACACCAGTTTTTCCAATAGACTGAAGACAATGGATTGTGATTAATAATCATGTCGAAAGTGCATGACACTCAACAGAGAGCCTTCACTATGCCCACACTGTAGTGGGTGAGCAAATGTTAAACGTTAAAGAAAAATAATTTTAACAGTAACTAACATTTCAATCCATCATTATGATTCCGACCAAGCAAGTCCTTTTTATGAAGGTATATATAGTACCTTTATCAAGAGTCGTACTTAGAGCAAGGGGTTATTGATCTTTTATAAATATGTCTGTTCAAGTCTAACAGATTAACAGATGAGTGATACTTTAGTTCATGGATCTGGTAGACTCTAAAATGACTTCAACTGAACGTCAGTTGGTCTTAACCTTCTCATCTTGATAACTAAGCATGCACAGATCAATATACAAGCTGTAACTTACACAAAACTTTATGTACGCATAGGAGATCATTGGCTAACTAAGTTTGGATGAAAGATTAGACTCAACGAGCTTGGTTAAGAAACAAGAGACATCAAAATCACAAAACGGAAGACGCGCTGAAAAGTACCATTTGCATTTGATCAATCCATCCTCCGTGGCCATTTTGCATCTTCTCAACTACTTCTTTATCACCCAGTACAGTCACAGAGTCGTTTACTGCGAAAGATTCGACCTAAGGAAACACACGTCATATTGCATTTCTTAAACCAGAGATGGCAATAATAATTTTCTCTTTTTGCAGTATTTCTTCTACAAAATACAAATCTTTTAAGTCTATCAAAAGCTTTTCAAAATGTTACAGTTCAACAACAATTTCAAGAAGTAACAACAGCTTTACAAAATTCAAACCAAGCTCACGAGCAAAACAGGAAACATTTTCTACCTATTAAATTGTCGTCAAAAGCTGTAGCATTACGCTAGAGACGCTGAGCTAGCATTTAAACGACCTTGGGATCCATGTTTGAAGATTTTGTACCATTTGGCGTTTTCTTTGTATTTTTTCATAAACAATGATTAAATAACAATATACAAGGTCTCGCAGCTAGCAAAAACTTCCTTCGTGAACCCGTACTAAAAAATTTACCGATCAATAGGACCATTATAAAAGGAGGGGAAAATTCACTCGCTCCAATCCCTGAACCAAAATAAAATAATGCAATTTTCAGCCCTCCAAACTGACACAGAAATAAAGTTATTTTAAATAGTTTTGGTTTATTGTTCAGCAGCAGTCAAGTACATTCACAACACTGCTGTCTTAGAGATTATAAACCCCATAGAAGTGTTGTAAATCTTTTTTAGGCTATATAGTAAACATTATAGTAAACATAACTGACGAACACAATCAGATATGATACGAGAAGCACAATCTAAAATTATTTAGCGAATAGATAAGTAAAAATATAATACAGTGATTTTACGTACTCCGTTTAATAATGATGAGATGACAATGGAATGGGAAAGGGAAAGAGATCTCCATACTTAATCTTAAATAGCCTGATGGAATTTAAAGCTGGTGAGGGGAAGGAATGTCAAAGCAAAGAAAGTGTGTACACCAAAACTTTTGAAAAAACGTTTTTAAGAGTGGAAATCGGTCTAAACGTAACAAGGTACAGCCGCCTAGTCTTTGTGTCTGCCAGGATGGCTTTTATTACGGAGTATGGGGAGACAAAAGCTTTGTCAAATCCTTCTCATTAACATTCAAAAAATAAGATAGAAACAAATAGGGATACCAGTGTCTCAATGAATTGGGACGATCTCGTTTAGAGATTTTTCTATACTTTGAAGGGGGGGGGGGTTGTAAATCGGTAAGATGGGGTAGTGTAAATTTGAAACACTTTAGCAGGGATTGAAAATATAAAAATAGGAGAGACCTAAAAAATGAACAATTTAAGGCACCAGTAGAAGAGAAAGATAAAAAACTTGATGGGTGATGTAATTAGTTGGACTTGTATAAAAGCGATGAAGGACTGGGATAAGTATACCATCAAGAGACAAAGCAAGTGCCACCACACGATAAAATTGTAAGTGCATTCTTAAAATAAACAGACAAAAAACTGGTGAAAAATGGCTTCCCAGGTGGCAAACCTAAAAACCAAAGCCTACCGTCTCATTTTGCATTGCGCAGGACATTTTGTACAAACAATAAGCATGTAACATTCATTCCACAAAAACCTTGCATGGTTATCGAAATTTCTATCATATTTTTCGTGTAGATTCGTTAAATCCCACAGACGGCCCATTTACTAGCAGACAAAATCACTTGAATTGTTCTTACTTTTTTCAAGCAGGCAGGATTGTAGACCCACTCAACGTGTTTTTTAGCCCCAAGGGCCATGGCTCTCAGCAACATCTCCATCCCCTTTGGTTTATAGTTTACACCAATATCGCCGTTTGGAAGAATCCTCGAGACTTCACCGATGGAACCAATAAACTGTATAGAGAGAAAACCAAATTAAAAAAACTTATTCTAAAAATTCTATCTGTCGATATTTTTGGGTTCTTTAGCATATTCCTAGCAACAAATTAATAGCTACCCTAGCTTGACTATAGGAAAGCTCGTGGAATCTTCAAAGTTCCACTATATGGCCCAATCGCCCGAATATTCAATCTCTATTTATAGCCAGGGTATTTCTAAAACTAAGAAAGGTAGCAAGGATAGGGAGAGACCAATAATTAATAAAAGGCGAAATTAAAACAATATTAAAAATTGCTTACAGCAACAGACATGACTTAGTAAATGTAGCTGCTGTTTTTGATAAATCATCGTTTCTAAGTTTTCTTAGGGCAAAGAGGATAAAGAGAGTGTAGTTTTAATACGACGTTGCACATGACTACCTCTTCCATTGCCTCATTCCAGCCTCCATGATTCTGCTGCAATTCTTTTGCCCTTTCTTTATTAACATAAACAAACACTCTGTTCCCAACGGCGAATTCGTCCGGTGTAGATTCAAAGCAAGCTTCATCTACAACAGATGTAAAATAATTCATTTCACGTGTGGTTTGAATGACGCATGGTGATTGGCTGAAACCGAGCTTACGACAAATATTGCGATTTTTCAAAGAGCAATTGTATCAGCCTAGTTTTTTGTGTATAAATTCTTCACGAAAATGGTAAACGCTGCTTTTACGAGATTCACAAAAGGTGTCATGACGACTCCCGATGACCAGCAGATAAGGAGAGAATATCAAATTTGGCATTTTTTAATAGATAAAGCACCAAGATGCTAACGCTTTGAAATTGTTACAAACAACCTTATGTTGGCCTAAAATGTAAGCATATCGTTGATGAATCCCAGTACAGAATCTACCAATTTTAGATGACGAAAGAATCTGACAACTGTCATAATCTGTCATTCTGAGAAATACAGTTTTTCACCATCAAAGTAAAAACTCTCCAATAGGCCTAAATTTAATATTTCTTCTTTCATAGACCACTTCCAACGGTGTACATAGAGACAGACTTAATGAACATCGACGAGATATTACTAACAAACTTCTAAAAAAATTTGGTGTTGCACACACTTTTTTATAAGAATAATAAGAAAATATTACGGTTCAAAATAATGCAAGGCTCAAGCTTCATCAATAATAAAATTTTTTGCTAATTTCAGTTTTTTTGGAAAGCAAATCAAATGTGAGATTCATTCTTGAACAGTCGTATCCGCCTTTGGAGTCATAAACACTATTTTGCGACTCAGTTACACCCTGTTGTCGCTTAAGAATAATTTAAATTTGAATAAATCAAAAAAATATTTCTATCAGGTATTCTTATAAAAAACTTGTGTAAAACACTTTTTATAAAACAGGGACATAAAAGACCGTAAATTATAAATGTCCTGCAGAAAACGCCCTAACTACTGCCAAACAACAACCGACACAGTTTTAGGAGAACAAAAGAAAATCTCTTAATTAAGCTGCCATCCCTGCCAAAACCCTTGAAAAGTTTCCCTAACCTTTGCACAGAGCGCATCATAACAAAGTAAACATTATGTGAGTAATCCTCTGACAATTCAGTCATCATATATGTGTTAACAACTCGAATGACATCTTGAGCACTAGTCCCCCAAAACTGGGATAATGAGCGCCCACAGCTTCACTGTCAAAATTTCAAAATAAAGACAGTTTTACTGCTCGCCATTCTTCAATACCGTAAATCCTCGATTAAGCCCCCTGGGCGCTTATTTATTTTTGACATTTTGGGATGGGGGCTTATTCGAGGGGGGCTTATACGAGGGGGGGCTTAAAAATAATTGTAGACATTAAGAAGACATTATTAAAAAACCTCGTTTATTTTAGTAGGAATTTCTTTCTGAGCATCTAATACTACCAAAATAATTACTAACAAAAGTATGAATTTGTTGTGGTAATTCAATAAAACGCCATAAGCAACCTCAGATAGAAAAAATCATCAAAATGAGGGGTCCAATTCGAGAATTTACGGTAGCAGTGGGGGCTTATCCGAGAGGGGAGGCTTATTGACGATTTGCAGTTCTAGATTGGGGGCTTATTCGAGGGGGAGGGGGCTTTTTCGAGGGGGGGGGACCAATTCGAGGATTTACTGTAGTCGTTTAACTTTTAATTGAAACTTTGGTGTAAAAATGTATTTCAAACGTAACTTCGCAGTATTTTCATTTCGGAGTATTTTGATTTCAATTCTGAACCCAAGCTTTTGCTTTCCTGCGATAATAAACTGATTTAGTCCAAATGTTATCTTTTCTTAAAACATATCGTATCTGTGTAGATGTCAAGTTCTCTCCCCCAACCTCTCCTGAATGAGGGCCTTCCTTATCTCAGCGAAAATATAACGAGAGCAAGTGGCGACCACTCGACGATTAGTAGTATTCTTACAAGAGCATGAAACAACTAGAATTACCCAAAACTGGTAGGTGAGAAGAGAAGAACATCGAACTCGCCGCTGGCTCCTTTGCAATAAGGTCACACTGAAAAGAAAGCAGAATAGATGTGAAATATCGAGAAGAGAAAATTCTATTTTAACAATGAAAAAATCCAAGAATGAAAATATTACCCTGGGTACTAGAGCCACAAAATTTCGATTGCGGAAATGGAAATCCAAGCAGTGAAGCGGAGGAGCATCCAGCTGAGAAGAAGGAAAATTGGCTTTAGGCTAACCCTCACCCATTCTCGTTCTAATGTCTTGTCTTGAGAATTCTGATTAAAATAGGAAAGCTACAGGATTCGAAGAATTATTGTGTTCTGCCTCATTGAAAATCATCTAATGATGATTTAGATTTTCTTTCAATAAAACCTTAACACCTTGAGGTTATGGCAACAGGACAAAATTCTAGGAAAATTTAGGCTCATAAACGAAAAAGATTTCTGTCGCTTGTCGTGGAAAACACGACTGAAGGTGAGAGCAAATCTGCGAATGTTTGTTGTGCATTTTGTTTTAATTTGATTTCGTAGAAGCTACCAGGCTTCGTTCAATACATTTGTACGCAGCAAAGAACTGTAAAGGGGCGATCCAGTTTTCGGTAGCATGTAAACCTTGACGAAAATGCCTGATTCAAATCAGGCTTCTATGCAGGCATAAATAGTTCGTTTTGAATGCAAGTGCATTGTGCATCCACTATCAGCATCAGAATTTTGAGTAAAGTCGTCTGGCATGCACTTTCTTTCACTTTCTATCACTTCATTTTAGCAATTGACGATCGATCAAAACAAGGGAATCATTGTTATCAGACACTTCTGATTTACCTTTCAATTTTGGAAGGCGCTTTCCTGATTGATTAAAAATCAAATATAAGAACGAGAATGGGTAAGGGGTTAGCCAAGGGTCATTTTTTCTCCCTCTCAGAAAGACGCTCCTCCGCTTCTCAATTCCTATCTTCTACTTCCATGCTCGAATTTTTGTTGCTCTGGCACCCAAGGTATTAAAAATATGCTTCCATAAAACATCTATTTCCTGCTATCAGATTTTTAAGGCTTTTTTTATAGAAAAATTCCAATCATTTTCGGATTTTCCAGTTCTTTAAAGTCAGCTAAAAATATCCAGGCGGGTTGTATAGTACTTTGAAGTTACAAGCTGCTAGAATAAATTGCAAGATTTATCGATTTTCAAACATCTCTATACAAAAGTTAACAATTCTCTGATTCTTCAGCTTTAGAAGTTCGAATCAAAAAATGTAATTTGCTAAAATAACTTAGGCAAATCAAATGCAAGAAGGGTTTTAGCTTAGTTTTTACTTGAATCGGTTCACATTATACCGAATTGATTTCGCATTATATGGTCACTTTCTATAGGCCACTGTTCACATGATTGAATGGGCAACAATTTCTGCAGGGGTGGCACAAGGGTCAGTTTTAGGCCCATTGTTCTTCCTTGTTTATATCAATGACCTTTATTGATAACTTAAATTGTGATATCGATGTTTGCTGACGATACATCATTATTCTCTTGTGTAGATGATCCAGTGAGAAGTGCTTTGGTGTTAAACGAGGACGTAGACACGGTAAAATTATGGGCGTGGCAATGGAAAATGCATTTTAACGCTGACAAAACTGAAGAAGTTATATTCTCTTGCAAGAGATTAAAGCCCAACTACTCACATTTACTGCTAGGAAATGATCAAGTCAAACAAAAAATGGAACATAAGCACTTAAGAGTAATACTTGATTCCAAATTAGATTTTCAAAGCCACACCAGGCAGGCAATATCGAAAGCACGAAGAAGAATCGGTATGATAAGATAACTATCAAAATACGTAGCCAGAAATGTGCTTGATCAGATCTATAAACTTTACGTGAGGCCTCATTAGATTATGGAGATATGATATTTCATCGACACGATCCTGCAATGCAATCTCATTTTACACAAGCACTCAAGCAATATTCTGCAGCTCTAACTGTGACTGGTGCATGGAGAGGTACAAGTAGGCAGAGACTTTACAACAAATAAAGTTGGGAAAGTCTATACGATGGGAGATGGTTTCGACGCTTATGTCGTTTTTTTTTTGTTCTGAAGAAACAGCGCTCACCTCAATGTCTGGTCGCTGAGATTCCAAATGAACGCCAGCTAACATATAATCCTAAAAATCCACGCGTTCATGACCAAAATATTGGACAGACCAATCGCTTTGCTAATATCTATTTCCAAAACACATTGATGGACTAGAATAAGCTTGACAATGAGGTTAAACATTCCGTATCCATTGCTCAGTTTAAAAACAAATTGCTGTCTGCTATAAGACAAGTGGGAAATTCTATATATAACATTCATGACATCTTAGGTGTTAGATATTTAGCTAAACTACGTTTGCAATTTAGCGCACTAAACGAGCACAAATTCAGGCATAATTTTGATTGTTTAAGCCCTGTTTGGGTTTGTGGAAAAGCAAAAGAAGATAATGAACATTTCTCCTGCATTGCCCATTGTACGACATAATGCGACGCGTTGCGATCTCCTTGGTCAACTCTCGGAAATTCCTGGTTTAGATATTTCACACTATAATTCAAAATCCTTATGCACACTGCTTCTGTATGAATTTCCATTGTTGAATGAATTTGCCAACAGAATAATTATAGAAGCTACAATATCTTTTGTTAAAGAAGCAAAACGATTTGACTGAATGCAGCTATCCCATATTTTTTTGTATCATTATATTATTTTTGGTTAACTTAAATAATTTTTTTGGTTTGTTCCTTGTCCATTTGTTCGCTTGAATGACAAAATGGTTAAATATATTGTAAGTGCATGCTTTGATATCAATAAGATTAGAGGAAGTATATTATATTATATATGATATATTATACGATGACACTTGAATCAGATACGCTTCATATCATTGATGCAGTATGAGTCCTATCCCGGTTATTTTTTCTCTGGATATAATATAATGAAAGAATGAATATAATGATACAATGAAAAAAATACAATTTTTTAGCTGGCTAGAAAAACAGCTAGTGCTAAAAAGGCCAACTTTGCGCTGTTTATAATACTTTCGAAATTAATATATAAAATTCAAGAGTGAAAGATACACTCAGACCCTTTCCAGCCTCTGATCTTGCAAAGCGACTTTGTTATAATACAAAATCATATAACAAAATAACATATGCTAATAACAAAATCAAATGATCCAGAAGTATATGCATGTAAAAGAATAAAGCGCTTTTTGCAAGCTTGTAAAGAGGGTGTTTTCTTAACCTCGGATTCATGTGATCTATTGTTAACAATAGTAGCGGATTATCATAGCGTCGTCGTGTGAGCAGAAATCAAAATTGAATAGGGTATCATTTGAAAAGCCCTACCAAATCTAATACACAATGAATCCAGTACAGTGTGAGCAGGGTCTTACCTTTCCTTGAAAACAAATTCGATATTCAGCAGCTGTACCAGAACTCCAAGCTACACGAGCACCAGATCTCTCTGACTTGGGCTTCAAATGAAACAAAAATGCTTGTTGTCCCGATAATTTTCAACAGGTGTACAAAATAAGGGAAATATTAATTAAAATTTTGTAAACGAGTATCAGAAATTCCGAGAGAAGGAGTTAGGTGGCATATCTATCATGATTAGATCTGTTGTTACTCTTATTTATTTTAGTATATTTTTTATTCAACTTTATTTTCTTTATTCTATTTTATTTTTCATTTATCTTATCTTATTTTGTTTTAGTTTATTTTATTTTATAAGTTCATTTTATTTTTTTCATTTTTGTATTTAAGATGCATGGCCCCTTGTAAATCAGCATTGCTGAATGGGCTACCATGCTTATAATTTAAATGTAAATGAAAATTTAGAAGACAATCATATTAACTTCTACAAGAAGTCTTTGGTAGGTAAAACGTCTTATGGAAAAGATCAATTGCTGTCACCAGTTAATGAGACAATTATAAGATCCCATTATATCTGCACTAATATCTGACATCCGAAACATGAAATATAAATCCTTGTTTGTCTGCTATCAGCTTCCTTCCTTCCCTAAAAAATATATGAACCTAAAAACTGAGATGGAAATACAGGCATTGCCAATAACGCAAAATTAGCAATTTTCTTTTGAAGCTGAAGAAAATTACTTCTTGGTATTTGTTTAAACCAACGAACTTGACCTGTGTGACGATCCCGACTGATTGGAAGGATGTATTAATTTTGTACGCTGGTATCGGAATTTTCAAGTGTTTTCGTACAGATTTACTAATCCAGTAATCATGTGTGGACATTGTGTTTTGACGATTCTGGGGAGCGGATTTTGGATTTTTAGCTTAAAAACCAGCGGATAAGTGGTCCAAAAGTTAGTCAATAAAGGCTCTCGAACGCGTTTGGCACGTGGAGAAAGTAACAGTTTTTGCGGATTATGTGGTAAAAAGTTGGACAGTGAAAGTAATTTTCCCCCCACTACCCCTCCCAAAGATAGTAATTTTACCAAACATAGAAGAAATAGTACAAAATGCGATCTCAGTAATCTTAGATCATTTTGGCAGCTCAGTTGAACAGAGTCAACTTTATTGACAATGAGATTTCAAATTATAAAACATAATAAAAATCAAAACTCACAACCGCATTATTGCTCCAATCATAAAGGGCAAGAACTTTTCCAGTTTTGTCACTGCCACCTAATATAACATCAGCACAATGAATACAAAAACATTTACAATTATCCATGGGATACAGACCAGCAGTAAGCCAAATTAAGCCCGATCCATAACTGTGTAAATTGTTCACAATATTACGATTCAGCTTCAGTCAACACGCATCTAAAGAATACTTCAATAACATGCTTCAAATATTGCCATAAACTTCAAAAAAATTTCAGAAAATTTTCACAATATAAAGATTCAGCTTCTTTTATAGGGTATTTCTATTTTAAAAAGGGCTTTGAAAAAAGAAAACATTTTGAAACATGTTATTAAAACTTTTCGTCTGACACTCTTTAGAGTATAAAACGTCAGAACATAGATCAAAAACTCTAGGCTAGGAAATATATATACCGTATTTCCTCTAATGGACGCCGCCCTCTGATTAACGCCGCCCTTTATTAAAAGCCGCACTTTCAGCCAACCATTTGCAATAAACGCCGCCCTCTGATAAACGCTGCATCTTGCAAAGCGGCGTTCATTAGAAAAAAGAGCAAACAAGAAAAAACGAATAGTTGATACGCTTACTGTTCGAAAGCAATGAAAGTTTTCATGTCATAAAGACGAGAACTCTTGACGGAGACAGTGACTTTCCTTGACATAAAACACTTTTTACACCATCATCATAACATGTTTTGGGAAAAGAAAACATTGTTAACGTCTGCTTTTATCTTTTTTATCGTACTTTGTCTTATCACTTTTCACCTGACAAATTTTCATTTTGCATTAAGCGCCGCCCTTTGATAAACGCCGCCTACAAAATTTGGTTCTTCTAATAAACGCCATGTCGTTCTTTAGAGGAAATACGGCATATTTCGATCCACAACTGGGTATATATCAGGGGCGGGGTGGCCCACCGGGACTTGAGGAATTTCCCGTTAGGCCTCTTAAGGTTTTCATATGAGCCCCGTCGATTTTTCTTTCTTTTTAGCTTTTATCATTTATAACATCAGATTTGTGAGAAAAGAAGGGAAGTAAGGGCCCACGCTGCCTCCGCAACACTCATTTCAAACATATTATAAATGATGACCACAAGAAACGATCAGCATCAAAATGGCGTGCCCCTAAAAAGTTGATTTTTCAATGCCCACAAAAATTCCAAAAATCTCCTGGTATATGTATATTTCCTAGCGAAGAGTTTTCGACCAATGTTCTGAAATTTTATACTCTCAAGTGTCAGACGAAAAGCTTTAGTTTTAGCAACATGTTTTAAAATTTTTGCTTTTTTCAAAGCCATTTTTTAAATTCTGTACCACGAAAAGATTGTTTGCATATTTCTATTTCTTGATTAGGAAAATTCTTACTCCAGGATATTATTTTCTACTTCCGTAATTAGATACTCCTATGTCTTCATTGGGTATTCATGTTCCTTCAAGAGGTGTGCCTATTCCCGAATTGTGTTTCTATTCTAAACAAAAAGGAACTCCTGTGCCCCCCCCCCACTTTATGAGCAAGCCATCCTGACATTCTTCTAATTTCTTTTACATCTATTTAGAAAATACATGACATAAAAACATCACCCAGCTACAAACCATCTTGGTCATTCCAATTCCAATCAGGGCCTCTCTTTACAATAGCACCAGGGAAAATGCCAAAAGCAGTTCTACACGGGGTACCGTTTCGTTGACCAACTTTGGTCCTAAAAAGCAAGAAAAATGTAAAAAGGGTTTAAAAAGTATTTGAGGTTAAAAAAAGATCACAAGAGTTTTTCTTGTTTGATTATAAAACATGATACTTCATCCTGGGCACCCTGTTTATAAAAAAGGATCAATAATCACAAATAGATTGAAAATCAAATAAAAATTTATTTATGACTGTAAGATTGAGAATTAAGAAGAATTGCAAAAAATAATGGTAAATGCTATTATGTACTGCTAATTTTAGTCTTGATGTTTTGTCATTTGATAAAGGCCTGAGGCAAACGAATTTGCAAAGAACATTTGAATCATGAGCCAAAAGCAGTCAAAACCAACCATAACAAGCCAAAACGAGTCAAAACGAGTCAAAACGAGTCAAAACGAGTCAAAACGAGTCAAAACGAGTCAAAACGAGTCAAAACCAATCAAAATTGGCAAAAACATTTGGCCCAGGGCATCACTTCAAGCTTTTTATTAAGTGTGGGGGGGGTGCCTGCATATTTTCCCTGGGAAAAATTTAGCCCTGCAAAAAGTTGACAAAGCCACACAAAAAAGAAAACCATAATGTTAAAAACTAATCTTTTATTTTCTTTTATTTACTTTCACATTTTGCTGTTGACAACTTTCTGATATTTTGCTTTAAAAACTGTTAGGCTGTGGTCTTCACATGGAAAAACTTTCATCATACCTTTTAAATTATTATAGGCCTGTAGTAAAGAAAAGTGCTTCACATATAACAGACAAACTCGTTTTTTACAACAATCTTTCGATATGCACACTAGCACCCCACTGAACTTGGGGTTGGTCACACTATGCTAGATGCAAAATCACTATGAACAAACATTCCTCAAGCAAGGGCATCAAAGCTTAGCTTGATGGGGCATAGCCCAATATTTTAAAAAATATTCAAGATGACATAATTTAAATCTAGCCACACACGCTTGAAAAGCTACAAGAAATTATACATTAACCATCATCATTTATTCAGCCAGGAGGTTGACTGCTTGTGCATCTTTCTACCAGACTATTCGACCATCTTCTGTTTCGTGTTTGGCAAATGCTGTCTGATAATGAGGCACCCACCAGGCCCTTGATGTTTTCAGTGTGTCTGTATGTCAGTTTTTCTATGCTTCCTGCACCTTCTACAAATCCCAACATCACAATGTTCTCAATTGAGGTAGTGTCACTAGGTGCTTTATGGCTGAAGTATCACAATAATTGTGACTTTAAAATGTCATGGAGCAGGATTTTCGGATAGCCAATTCATTCCAATACAGTAGCGTTTGGTAATTCTGTCAATTAATTAAATACCAAGCATACATCTATATGTGCACATTCTGAAAGCATCTATTCTGTTTTGGTCATGTTGCTGTAGTGTCCATGCTTAGGATCCATATGTTATTTTTGAAACACCAGAGCTTTTATTATTCGTCTTTTAGAAAAAAGAGTTAAATCTTTCAGAACATAAGGTCTTTCAGATTCCACATACAATCTAGTGATGAAAATTTATATGGGAGCTAAAAGCAAACATTTTTGACAACAAAAAGTTCCAAAGAGCTAGACAAACCTTTCTCCGCGGTTTACATTGATTCTGTAAAAATCATGGTCAAGACTGTGGTTTCCTTTGTGATAGCATGAATCACACAAATCAAAATCATTACAGACAACACATGTCCATCTAATTCCAACAAAGTTTGACTTTGAGCATACATCACAGGTGACACCAACATGAGGAATACCTAGAAAGAGCATTAAATTTGTGTGAAGCTCAATAAGAAGATTCCAAGAATGGGCAGGGGACAATTAAACAACAAGTGCTGGCTTTCTATAACTAAAGTTCAACAAACTGTAGTGGAGCATGGGGGATAATAAGGGGACATTTATATATTATTTTCTTTATGCGTTAGATTATTTTAGTGTATGAACTCTACAAAAACCTCTGGCATTATAAAGTAGAGTAAATTTGACTTTTGGTAAAAAGGGGGGTAAATCTTTCAAAGCTTGCTAGTACTATGTTATTCTCTTTTCATTTTTAGGGGCATTGTAAGAATTACCATTCTGAAAGACAAACAAATGTAGACAAGCAAAAACACAAAGCTGCCTGACTTTTTCATTTGTCGTACACTTCTTTCAATTACTTTTTGATATCCAGATTGTTTTAGGCTTGCTAAAGTCAGGGATGTGAAATTCAAAATTCCAAGGCCATTAAAAAATTCCAAAAGGGCTCAGAAAGTAGTCTGGAAACAAGAAGCAGTCTTTGCTAACACCAAGGGCATGATCTTAATAAATTTTTAGAGTTGTAGCTTAAAACTCCTCTACCCTAATCTAGTCATGGTTTTTTGAGACACAACAGAATGGACAGAATAAGGGACTTCTTCTAATCTAATTCATATCAAGGCATGCTAACTGTCAAACTAGCAATGTTTTTCTTCAAAAACTGAATCACAGGTCTTACAAAACTCATATCTGAAAAAATTAAAACCAACCATTTGATATGCGTCAATTCCTGAAAGGAATTTGTAACTATTTTTAGAATAATAGGAATTCCAACAACTTTAGCTCCAGTTTACAGAATTAGGCCTTTAAAGGCTGAATCTACCCCGCCAAATTTTTTAATGAACAATTTTGTTTTGTTTAATGGCCTTGGTCTTGGTAGTTATTTAGGTCAAATTTAACACACAAATTTAACTGAATTAGAATTAACCCATTCTATTAACTAGGATTAAAATCATTTGTTGAAGAGTCATCTACGGTGATCCTTGATTGCACCTTGTCGAGAAAACCAGCATTTATGAAGTGCTACGACTAGTGGTGATTTATAGGGGGATAAAAATTTTCTGTGTTTTTTGGGGGCACAGCAATCTTAGGGAATGCAAAAGAATTGGTTTCCAGGTAAATAGCACCCAAAAGGAAGAGAGATGTTGTTGAAATGTTCTGTTATATTTGTTTTATAGTGTGTTGTTTTATAGTTTTGATATGATGATATAATGCAAGTTCCCGTGGTTATTTAGCCTTTTCTAATGGTTGTCTTTACAGCTTGGTTTGCTCAAGCATTAATACTCATATTTGCATCTATGAAAATATGAGTGTGGTAATAAGAAACAACACCCTGGAGTCCCCCTTGTTACACCCCCCTCACATGAGAAATTTGAGGACATTCTGAAACTCGGATCAACCTGAAATTCATTCCAGTCTGCGTTCTGAGCTCTTTAGGTGTTCACATGAGAGAGGGTGAAATGACCTGAATTAGTTTCAGTTTTTCAGGTCAATTGGAAATTTTGGATCAACTTGAAATCTGCATGGGTGCAAACTCATGGAGAAAATAAATTGCCCACAGGAACTTTTTCAAGCCAATTTGAAAACATTCATTTGAATAAAGTGGTGCCACTTGAAGGGGGTAGGGGGGTTCACCAAACCATAACTCATTTGCCAATAAAATGAGTAAGACATCCTTTATTTGCTAACAAGTTTGAAAGTTTACCAAAGAAGCACCCCTAGATGGCAAAAAACTCCTCATTTTTGAGACAAAACATTGTTCAAAGTTAAATTTTACAGAAACCCAGCCTCAGCTTGTTCTTTGTTTGTTCTTAACTTTTGACCAGTTTTTAAGCCAGTATAATTATGAGTGTAAGGGCAATATAAATATCTTGGAGAATAAATATCACCATTTGTCGATTTTATATGCAGCTGGGTAGTTTCCTCATAATGATTTTTGATGGCATCGAGGGAATCTTTGATATCCTAGTCTTGGGAAATGTTTGTGTAAAATGATTTTTACTCTAGTGTAACAAATTCAGTGGGATGCTAGTGTGTAGGTCGGAAGTGTGTTGTAATAAATAAGCGCATGCTTTCTTCGACTCCAGGATGGAGGGTTGCCTCACTAGTTAAAAAACCTTCCCTTGCTCGTCTCCCCGAGGCCAGGCAAACACATCAGTGAACTTGTGGACACAATAAGGGCCTAAGTGGTTACGACTTTCTTTGAGAGTTATTTGAGTGCTACGGCAACAGAGGGCCAGTTCCCTACATTTTCAACTTTTGCCAGGGCAAAATTTTTCTGCAGGGCAAATATGCAGGCCCCCCCCCCCCCTCTCCCCAACAACAAGTATGAAGTGACTCCCCTCTTTGTACGGGAGTCCAATTAACACGCACGATCTGAGTTCAGACCGGCCTGAAATTGTTCATGTGAGGGGTCTTAATTTTGTTTAGAAAATCACCCCGGCGACGACGCTTCTCACCTAAAGGACTGACATCAAATATGGTAAGCTCTCTATTGAAGCTGTAGCTGCCCTTATTCCCGTTGTCCCAATGAACTGTAACTCTTCTGTTGGAAGTTTCAACCACACTACCCAGATGCCAGTCTCCTCCATCCTCAGAACCGTTGGACCAGTTAGGCCCCCGCACAACTCGAATACCAGGTTTCAAAATTGACATGTCCTCAATCTAGCAAGTCAAGTGGTTCGAAAACGGATCCAAAGATCCAGCAGCAAATTTACAATCTCCTGTGCCTTTCAATCAAATTTACAATCTCAAGTAAAACGATGGACTTTCCAATAATAAAAGCAAGGAGAACCATTGACACAACTTTCGATTTTGAACATTCACTTTACGTCTTGACTTTACTTCACCCACCTCGATTCGATGGAAAAAGGAACAACGCAGGGAATTCCCAGAAGTTGGAAGTAGATAGCCTTCGTGCAGGAAGTTGAGAACTGGACCGAGCAATGTTGCGCCTGCGCGCCAGAATTCGAGGCCCTGTTCACACGATACCGGATTCACTCCTGTTCACACGTTGACGCTACGCTTCATCAACACTGCTACGAAAGGTAGGTATCCTGTCGCTGTGTACGAATAATACTGGTACTCGTGCGGCACCCCCCCCCCCTCTAGAAAATTCTTGTCGGCAAATTTTCTAAAAAAAGAGTTTTGTCGGGTTTTGCTTTCAAAGTTCCCAAAGCAATAGCTTTAGCGAACAGTTGGGATAAGATGAGGATGTGAACTTAAAATATTGCCCAAAAGCCCTCAGCAATTCAAAACAGAAAAATAAAGCGTTATGGGTGTCACGGAGGGCGAAATGTCCCCCAAAAACTTCAAATTACTCCCTTTCGGCAGCCGGAGTCTAGAATCTAATGTCCAATATCCAGGGCGACCTGATTTCTACCTAAAGTTTGGGGTTTAGGAAAGGGTCAAAGTTTATTGAAAACCTCTGAACGTTGATCCTGGAGGTACTGGAAGCCACTGTAAGCAGGGAAAGGGCGCAAAGTGCCTCAGGGCCTTGAGGTCGAGGGGGCCTCAAGTAGTAATGAACTCCATTTTAAGAATGAAATCAATGAAACGTAGGTATGCCTAAAAATAGTTAAAAGCTCTAAACGATTGCAAGAAATGACTACAAGAAATATTCTGAAATGCATTTTAAGACAATATGAAGGGCGTGGTCGCCAAAATTTCCTGATCGCTCCGCTCGCAGGGGGACCTCGTCTTTCGGTTTTGTTTCAAGGCCTTCGAGCCCTAAGTACCCACAGTCACCCGAAAATTGGAGCGATGATTGACTAACGAGAACATTCTCTTTGATAAACAAAATCAATTGCATCAAAATGCCACACCCCCACTTTGAAATATCTTAGGCCACGCCCTATTATGTCGGCAAATTGGTGAAAATTCATGGCGCTAGATTGTAAGGAATTTTTTATAGGAAAAAGTTGGTTTTTTGAAGCTAGAACAAAGATGTGATCTTATTTGGTAGATCTCTACCAAAAGCAACTACAGTCTCAACTGATGAACGCTTAAAGAGCCATCAGTTTCAAATAACTTTCAAAGCTAGAAACATCATCAATATATGCTATTATAAGGCCCTCTCGTGAATTCAGTTTATCTTATTGTTCAAATTTCTTTCTCAAAACACCCAAATCAACAGGCAATAGCTAATCTGAGACATCAAAGATTTTAGTTTCTCCGGCTCCATGAAAATTGAAATAGGAGTTAAAGCATGACTAGATGTTTTACAGAGAAGCTGGACATGTTTTTAAAGCTCAATTTCTTTATTCAGACTGATGCCTTATTCGTTCTACTCATCACCGAGGGTGTCGCGAACAAAGGATGTGGGGTTTGGGTTGTCACAGCCCCATAATAGTAGTTTTATAGGATTTTTCAGGGAAAATTAGTTCAATGGAAAAAATATTTCAGGTAGTTCGGAGCCCTTACGTCTTCAGAGATCAATAAAGAATCAGGCAATTATTGTTACTCCGTTGGTTACATATGATATTCAGAGACAGATTTACCAGGAAGGGGCTGTAGGGGGTGCGACACCCACAATATTTTGTGTCCTTTGGTAAATTTTGTTTTGATTCGGTTGAAAACTTTTTTCGGTGGTCAGTAATGACAAAATAATGCAAAAATTTGCTTTTTCTTTCTTCTTAACTTCTTCACCTTGAAGCAAGAAGTTTAATTTCTAAAATGCGCCCTCCCATCATTTTCCAGTTACCTGAAGGGTGTGTTATCAAAATCAAATCAAACACCCCCCAATTGTTGCCCCTCAAATCCGTCCGTGATGATATTCCCGCGAAGGTTTCAAAATTTCTTATTGGTACTAAATCGAAGAAACCAGGCCTTCTTCAAGTAATTTCGAAATTTATTTCCTCGACACTGACGCTCTGGAACCCAGGGTAACAGTATTTCCGATGATGGTTTCAGAAGCTAAAGAACTGCAGGGATTTCTTTTCACTCAGGAAATTTCGTAGTCAAGGCCTGCCTCGCCATGGCTCTGTTAATTACTGCTCTATTTTGGCCTCTCCCAGTGGCGGCTTTTTAAATAAATTGGGGGGGGGGCACTACTTACTCTTCCGAGTACCATTACTAATTGACTTGGCCCAGGGGGAGGTTCTTGTAATTATAGATGTTTCTGTAATGGGCTATGGCAATTTAGCCTTTTTGAAAATTTTGTAGCGCTGCCTGAAAAAATTCAGCAATGAATTAAAGAATTACTGCTTGCATCGACTAAAATCAAATTAGAATAAAATCATCAAAAAAGATTTTCTTTCAGAATATGATTTTTCACTGAATGAGGAGCCGCAAAAATATATATTTTTTTTTTTTCCCAACAACGTCGTTTGGACGTTTTAGGGGGAGGGCTTTTTCTCAAGACGTTCTCGAATTGAGATTTTACATCGAAAAATGGTCTTTACCTGTAATAAATCACAACCTGTTAAATCTGAACGTTGTCTTTGTTGACTGTCTCTCACTGTCAATATGAACCTTCCAATTTGGTCGGATCTTAAACTCTTTACTAAAGTTGGCCAACAAAAGAGAGACGCCATAATATAAGAATTTGTTCTAATTCCACTCAACAATGATGCGAAATCAACTTGAAGTTGAACTTAACAATAGTACGAGATCAACTAAATCACTGTCCTGGTGGCGAAGGTACGACAACGTCGACATTTATGACTTTCGCAATTATGCAAGAAGGACTACCCGTCGATAATATGCAGGGAATATTCCTCAAATTAGGTTCTACCCTCAAATTACATCTATCTATGTAGTTTTGCAAGAAAAGTCAAAAGATTGTAAGAAAATTTTACAGCTACAGATTTGTATGACTTTCCTTTCTATGTTCACTTTTCCTGCTCTAGTGTCTCTAATAGAAGGGAGGAGGGACTAGAAGGGGGGTGTGCATGTCACCCAATTTTCAAAAGAAGGGGGTGTGCATGTCACCCAATTTTCAATAGAGACGGGGTGCTAAGTAATAGATGGGGGCACCCTTTGGTAAAGTTTTTTATCAAAATTGTGGTGGAATTAGAAGGGTGGGGACACTGGTTACTTGATAGTGGATGGGTGGGTGGAGATATAGATAAAGTAAGAGCATTTGTACGTTATACAGATAAAAAACAAGCATATCAAGAGAAACGATGAAAATTACAAAAACAACTTATTTGAATGATTGCATTGCCATCACATTCTCAAAAGTAAACTTTGAAGGACTCTGCCGCAGTGAGATTAGAGCCCTGAGACACCATTTTTCTACGTTTGCAAGATCATTTGTGCTGTCTTCGACGTAGCCTGAGTTCCAGACCCCAAACTAGAAGTATTGGGGCTCAGGCTATCTTCGACGAAGCATTGTATGAGTGCATCAAAAAGTTCTTTATGTGTATGCAACGATATTAGTGGCCACCTTCCATCGCTTGATCAACAGAACCAGGCGCAACAGTTTCTGCATCAATCCTACATTGCTTATAACCTTTAACTGCGTGCCTTTTATGGTTAGGGCGTTGATGAACCCTCAGTTGATGAAAGCCACCCATCAGCACCTTAAAGGCCGTTTCTGAAAATATATAATTTAATAATAATTTTGAACTTTAAGCAAATATATCTCAAGACTTATTCCAAATATTGCAGCCAAGCCATATTTAGACAGCAAGTTTTGATTATGATTTAGAGGTGGAGTAACCAGGGAAAACAGTTTATTTAAGTTTCCATAGCAACAGCTACCATGCCAACCAATTTCTGTATTCATCCAAGTCTACTTTACTTACTCTTTCATTTAGATGGCTGGCTTATCTCCTTAAGACTACAAACTGGATTTAAAACCTTTCTTAAAGTTTAAGGTTGGCCCGACATTTCCAGTCCATAAAATACACCCTGGTCACATGACCCATCTAAAAATTATAGTAAAACAAAATTTTATCATTTTTCTAGAATACTGTAAAATTTCATGTACTTAGATTGAGATTTTACTGAAATAGTACAATTTGAAGTATACCATATGCATTTTCGTGCTAAGTGCTCAATAGCCTCAATGAGTTTAAAGGCAGTGTGTCGCGCTGTTCATTATGTTGAATTTCGAGGGTCCTCGTTATTAGAGCAGCGCGATAAATTAGAAGAACTCATCGTTAGCATCATTAAGCGTCCTCTGTTACGAAATGAAAACTCAGCTCACTGAAATAGAATTTTTTTTCTTTGTTTCGATAAACCAATGAACGGCGCGACGTACTGCCTTTAAAAGGATGCGGAAACAGCAGCAACAAACCATTATTACATCAACAACAGCAGCAACAGCATCAGTTTTGCCGCCATTATTCCATCAACAAAAGTAACTTAATAAAACTGATGATGGAAAAGCCACAAATAATTGCGCATATTCAAAAAAACCTGAACTATACGTTATTTGATGCAAAGTGGGTGCCAAGAAGTGCAAGATTTGTGGTTGTTGGCTCGCATGCGAGAGGGACTGGTGCACTGCAGGTTTACGAATTGTGTCAGGGCGAAGTCAAACTTCTCAAGGAGGTACGTAACAGTAACACTTTCCTCGTGAAAGTATCCGGACAGTTTCGAATTTAGTTGCCAAACTGTTGCTTTTAGATTTTTCAAAGGCAATTTTCATAAAAAATATTTATGAATTCTCTCCAATATTATTTCTTGAAGCTTTTGCCCTTGAACTATTATTCGTCAAAAAATTAATTTTTCGATATGTATAACCATTTTCTTGAGGGTTTTTTGGTAAAAAAGGGTAGCGACCAAAACAAGATAATTTACTTATGAACAGTGTCTAAAAATGAGGTTTCATTACAATGGAAAAAGCTATCAGCATTATATTGCTAATATCATTGGATGCACAAAGCCAAAAAAGGCTCTTGTTCTTTCAATATACGCAAAAAGTTAAAAACACAAGACAGAGCCTGTGTCATTGAATTTGAAAGTGGGGGGGGGGGGGCAAGGCTAGTAAAAGTAGGGGGCCAAGACCTTTTACCCCTTTTACTGCAGCTTTAAAGCTACTTGCTTTGCAAAAAAGGGTGGTGGGAGAGGGGGCATTGCCACTCTGGCCTCCCCTGTGGCATGGGCCCTGCAAGAAACAGAACAAATTTTTCATTGTCAAAAAATACAAGAGCTCTCATAGCCTCTACTGCTGAATATTGCACCCTATCCGATTTGCATCAAAGGTGGTTTGCATCATTGCGCAAAATTGCATTTAATGTAAGTATATATTGCAAGAGAAGTGATAAAGAATTGAACCTGTACCCTCATGTGGCTTTATGACCCTGCACTGAATGATATGTCTGTTTTGAAAGAATGTTTTGGATCTGGTAAAATGTTATCAAATTTTATGCATGTTTTTTAATCGATCATTGGCATCTCAATGCAAATGTTTTTGGCACCTGAAAGTGAACACTTTGTATTTCTCTTTTTGGAAAAAAATATTTCTGAAAGAGGGCTTTTTAATGATATTTTGAGCCTGTGACCGCAAAGCCAAGTAAAAATGTGCCTGCATGTAAAATAGTATGCAATTTATTGTCAGATATTGATGAATTGAGAACCTCCCTGTTACACTCAGTACTGCTACACCAACTTATGTTTGTCAAAAGCAGATACCATATCAATATCATCATGAACTACAAGTAAACCTGAACAGATGGCGTGATAAATAATACTAGTGTTATATTATGTCATAAAAAGGGAATGATCCATGGGTTGTTTTGGGTTGTCAAGTAGCCCTATCGTTGTTATCCCTTTCATCAAATAAGGATATCTTCGTTAAAAACACTTTCCAATATCTTAAACGCTTTAATTTAAATGGAGTAGTTTTTTTACAACATCTTCTTTAAAGGTTTGTGGATTTTAGGATTTTGCTTTCGCTTCATTAGCAAAGGTTGCAAGAATTTCAACATTACATTGGGATTTTCTCATTTTGAAGATATGAAAAATTGCCATGAAAGATTCTATTTCTAATTACTTTTGATTATTTTAATATGAAAATGCTTTCACTCCAAAAATTGAAGAAATAGAGGGGCTTGTTTGGTGTCACAAATTGTCAAAAAATTTTGTTTTTGATGAATCATTTGGACGTGTACCATCAAATTTTGTTCAAATACGTCAGAAATCAATAGCTACTAGATTCAAAAACTTGAAGACTTCAGCTTAAAGGAGAGTGCTTTCTATGCAGGAATGAGTTTTACAAGTCATAACATAATACTCTGAGAAAAAAGCAATACAATAGTTGTTAGCGATACAATGAAAGCAAGTGATCTCTTCTACCAAGAGATAATAGAGGAAAAGAGAAAAACAGCCAACTTGATTTTGAGAATCAAATGGGGCCTTTAGAGCAAGGACCTTCTGTCATTTTTGTAATAAAGAATTGCAATCTACTACCTATTATATTCTATTTGACTGTTCAATTTCAATACCAAGAAAGATGTTTAAAGAAAGCATGACTGTGATACAATAAAGGTAAATAAAAATCGATTCAGAAATGTACCGGCAGAAACTCCTGACAATGAACTTTTGGGCCTGCGAGCACCGCTTGTGTGCTCGTGCAGATTATTGAGGCCTGGTCTCAAGAAAGTGTTTGTAAAAATTTACAATGTTTTATTGGCCTATTTGAAGTGAGTCACCTGACTTTACTGTTCTTTGCTTTTTGATTGATTTGCAAAAGGCTTGTAGCATAACGGGGTAAGAAGAGCTCAAAAATTTTGGAACATTTTAATATCTTGGTTCATTTTGGAGGGTTTCTAAAATATTTTCCTTAAATTAAGGAGTTGTTATTGCAATCTTGAATTGCTATGCCAATAGCTTGGCTAATCCTGACCTATGATCTATCTTTGCTTTTGCAGAGTTCAGTTTTGACCAGTGACCAAGAGCAGTAATTTATTTTTGGTACCACAAATGTGGAAACGATTTTCCTCCTGTAAACATTTATCTGGTGTAATGTAAACATTTTGTGATTAAAATAGCTCTGACAAAGGCTTAAAGATGAAAAAGAAGAAAGATTCTTTGCTCATTTCACTGGGTAATTGTGTTCAGTGGAATGATCTTGAGTTCTTGGTGCTGAAACATGATTCCAGCAAAGAAGTATTTAATTACGAAGTATTAGTAAGCTTTTTTAATTACTGTCATTAATTACTTCTCTTCACATGTTTTTGGCAATTTGGAAGAATTTTTATCTGCTTGTTTCCATTTAGACTGAGAAGCACTCTGCTTTTAAATGTGGTACTTTTGGTGCTTCAGCCATACAGCAAAGATATTTTGCCACAGGAGATTTTAATGGAAAATTGGCTATATGGTAGTATTTTCATCTTCATTATTACTGTCCCATTTATATAATGTCTAGATAGATGTGATATGTATATATTAATTATGCTTAACATTATCACATTTGATTTTGAAGAAATTGCATTAATGATTATTTCTAGAGTTTATTACTAATGATTTTTAATACCCTTCAGGAATAGAAGAAAAGTCAAACAATTGACAAACGCTTTCTCATTTAAAAGCAGATTAGCATTTTTGAAAATTTTTAATCTCAGAATTAACTTTACCAGTCTACTGAAAATTTTGGATTTTACAGTGAATTTAAAGTTTCTATTATAAAATGGTAATTGAAAATCCCAAAATCTGAGTTTTGGTTTGTTTTCATGGTCAGAGATATAACTATATGCAATTGCATGCTCTATATTACCAGGACTGGCTGAAATACTAAATCATCATGCTTGCATACTTATGTTAGGTTTGTTAGATCCCAAAAGATAATGACAGCATGATTCGTTTCAAGGAACCTTGAATCACCAGACATTCCAGTGTACAGTGCAGATGCACATAAAGAAATAATCAACTGTATTGATGGTGTTGGTGGTCTTGGGGTTGGTGAAGGAGCCCCAGAAATTGTAACTGGGAGCAGAGATGGTTTGTTAAGCTAGTTTTAATTTTAATTTATTTATGCAGACTGTCTAGATTTGGCAAGAGAACATTGGAATCCTTTAAGAAATGACTCATCTCTTTATTAAGAAGATAATCAGGACTTTCTTCGAAAAATCTGTACGTGGAAATTAAAATGCCATATCTTATAAGCTTACAAGGGTGATCCCTCCTTTATCATTATTTCTAAAACAATGCCCTCGTGTACCTCTCATGGATTTTGGTTTCCTAATCTAAAATCTTGATTGCATCGTCATCCGACAAAATTTTTTAATGGAGGATGCAGGATCTGACAAATCTTAGTTCAGTGTGCTATACTTTTTCTTTATGTTGTCCTGTTTGCAAGCGATCCACTCTTGTGAGCACTGGCAGACTGGCCAACCGGGATACCAGGAAATTTACTGATGGGCCCCTGCCAAGCAATGAATTATTTTGAAATAGACCTAGCCCTTCATAAAAAGATATGTTTGAATGGACCCAAGCCCGAAGAAATCAAGAAAGTTTATAAGACCAATAAGTGTGAATTAAGAAACAATGATGAAGCCCTGTACTTTGGGTACCAAAGCCCTAAAGAAAAAACTTGTTAAATGAAAGATTAAAGAAGAATGAAAACAATAATAAAGAGAGAAGGAGTTACAGCCTCAAGCCCAGACAGGGAGTAATTGTAGGTGCCCCTTAGAAGTTGTAGACATAGAATGAATGGCTTGAAGGAAGAGAAACATACAGAAAAAGACAAATATAAAACTAAATTATTGTATAAGAAGGGCACTAACCATCAACAAAGGGCACTCATTTGAGGATTGTATAGTATTTAGTAGCACAATGATTGAAGGAACAGGGACTGACAAGATTGTATGTCGCTATAAAAGAAAAGGTCTGAAGAGTTGGGAGAAGGGAGAGGCCCTGTTTTTGTGTGTGGGATCTAGATAGTTCGAGTTTGAATGGGTAGGGTTAGCTACTGCTTTAGAAAGAATTGTTGAATATGATGACTAGCTTGACATCAAGAAGGTTGTATTATGGAAACTTTTTACAATTTGATCTTGCAAAATAATTCCCCTACTTTACAAATCTTTTTTATGTTTCATAGTTGAACTGTGTCCGTTTATCCTACAACTTTGGAAGACCATTTTGAAAATATTAGCAAGTTTTAAGAAAGGCTGGGATCTTTCTTGGTTCTAAATCGACCTGTAGGTTGGAAATGAATGTTGTTAACACTCTAGATCCATTTCCTGGCTTCCCTCAGAATGCCATTTTTTGTCAAAAGTTTTCCTGCCGTCAAACATGATGGTGGCCTTCACCAAGCAAATGAACAATGTTATTTTTTGCAACCGCTATCCAACATATAACTAATCCCCCAAAGGTGACGTCCATGAGGATCATTGTTATGCTTTTAAGTGATAGAAAATATATAGAGATCAAGGGATCTTAAAGTTTGCAGCCATGTTTCCACAAAAGTAATTCATAACTTTAACGAAAACCAATGTAAATTTCCTTTTGCTGCATACCCTCCATCACCCCCCACACTTGATGGTTCTTCGGGACGCCATTTTTCTAATTAACTGCATTGATTAGCCAAGAATACGTGCGAGAATTACCAACAGACGAAAATTCAGATCGATTTTAAACAGTTTTCACCAATCAGGGTCCAGAGCTCATTAAGCTAAAACATAACATGGGTGACCCCAACAGTGGTTGGAAGTCCGGATGCCAGTTGTTTAAATGACTCTATCGTTAAGAAATAAGTATTTCTTTTAGTTTTCTTGTAAAAATTATTTCTTAAGGCAGCGTAAAAGTATGGGATCCACGCCAAAAGGACATCGCTGTAGCGAACATGGAACCTGCTGATGGTGAGCAAAAAAGGGACTGTTGGTCCGTGGCCTTTGGTGGGTAAATGTTTCTCCATAGAAGCGATTTACGTCAGTTAGTTTCAGGCATTTTGTTTATAATTGCCAGATCGAATCTTTTTGTAATTTTTTCTAGTTTTCAAGAAAATATATTAATTCAAGTTTTGGTTTTGCAAGCTCATGGGTATACTTGTTATTGGCTTTTTAATTTTTGTAACACTGCAAAAATGCACGGTCTGGTGATCTCAGCTACAGTTTTCTATTTCGTTGAACACGCATTTACTTCGGATTGTGCGTATATAAGTTTCTTCTTATTTAACAGATAGATATTTAATTGCTCGGTATTCTAACTATTCACAACAAAAAGGTGGTAAATTTTTTATTGTCTTGGAAGAGCAAATAAAATTGAATGTCTTGAGATGCTAGATGCAAACATGGTCTTAATGATCGCACAGAGTCTAAAGTCTAGTTGTCAGTTGGTTGCATCAAGTTGCTGGTTGCAACGTACTTGTGCTGTTTACACATAAAAAAGATGCAACCTCCAGCGATATCCAGCTGCAAGAACTGGCAACAAGTTGCAGTAATTTTGTCGGGAATCCTGGAGACCCAGTAAAAAATCAAACAAAATGGAGGCAGATGCTGGCTGTGTAGCAGTGCTGCACAAACGAAACTTTAGACGGAAGCAAAGAAAAAAAGGCTTTGGGTGAAGCGGTGGATCGCAAGGCGCAATAATTTAGGGGCTTGTAGCCGCTTGTTCCTGTCCTTATACTCGTTCAATAATGAAATTGCATGTCCGTTCACACGTGCAACTCTTCAGTCTCATCGTGTTTGTGCGACACGTTGCATAAAGTTGCATATGAAAAGTTGCATGTGTAAACTGTGCTTATTAACAAATTCTAAAACAATTCTTAAATTTCTGAAAGTGCAACAATGCAAAATCCCCGCAGTTGGCTAACTTTTAAAATTGCATACGGGGTTGCATTTTCCAAATACGGAGATCCATACTGGTCGGTGTTTTTTAGTTTTACGGTAATCTTTACAAAAATCTTTCGTAAATGGTAATATCTGGGTTAATAAAGGGCCTGAACGTTTTCAGTGCGGAAAATTTCACAGTACCTGGTCTTGTTTTGTCGTCATTTTCAGCCTTCGTTGCCATAAAAACATAAATTCTCTAACTAAAGTAATGGTACCATGTTTTCTACTGCTTTTGATTTTTCACATGAAAATTGTCTTTACGTCCATCAGGTCATTCCTATACACAAGAAGAAAGATGCATTTGTGCTGGATATGACAATGGTGATTTAAAAATGTTTGACCTTCGTACTATGTCTGTTAAATGGGAAACCAACCTGAAGAATGGTGTAAGTAGAAAGTTTTATATTGTGCTTGAAAAGATCTGCGAATCAATCAAAAAGTTATTTAAAGTGAGCTTAAGAAAGGCAGACTATGATAATTTATTTCCATTCGCCATATTCTGTGAATCTTGCGATGAAGAATGGGAAAAATGCCCATCAAATGAAATTTTATCAGATTTAATTTCATGAGGGATGTTGTAGAATTTGATTTTGCTAAGGGTTCTTATTTTTGCTTGTTTGTATTATTCTCATTTTGGTGTCATGCTTCAATTGTCATGCTTCAGTTTAGTATTTAAGTCCTATTGTGCTTCTTTGATGCCATTGGGAATAATAGTTAAGAAGGAGTTCTGTAGCTTGGGCTTCTGCCCGAATGTGTGGGTCCCTTGACTCAGATTGGTGTGTTTAATTGCTTTGGGTCGGGGTTATCGTGCTTAGTTCGTATCCTGATTCCACGCTGTTCTCTTCTCCCGTCCCTCCCTCCCCTTCTGATATCAAGTATAGTGTGTTTCTTCAAATCCTTATTTATTCTGTTGTATTAGGCTAGGGCCTGTTTACATCACGAAATTCATTTCAAAGTACTTGTTATTTTTCGTTTAGGAAAGACTAGGCTCTTAATTCAGTCATGTTTTACATTCAGCCATTGTCATATCCTCTTCCTCTTGAAAACAGATTTGCTCTGTGGAGTTCGACAGAAAAGATATTATGATGAATAAGCTGGTAGCAACAACATTGGAGTCGAAGTTTCATGTCTTTGACCTCAGGACACACCACCCTTCAAAGGGATATGCATCTCTGGTTGAAAAGGTGGATGCAATGACTTTAACTTCATATTTCATAATGATTGAAGTAGAAATAGAAGTTTGATGTTAGCAGTTATAAATTAGAAGTAGAGGCCAGAAGCCAACGATAAAAGATTTTTGAGAAAATTATTGCTTTGTATAAACGAGTTAGTAAAGAGAAAGATACTACATACAACTAGAAAATAGTTTCATGCAAGCCAAAAGTACTCAGCAAGATATATTTTTGTTGATAAATTATTTGAACGTCTAGGTCTTGGTATGAAAGGGCCTACTCTGGTTTCCAGAGCACCAAATGACTCGTAAGAAAAATAGCGAGATAGGTGTCCCGCTCCTTTCCACTTTCTATCATTTATCGTGTTAGGATCCAAAACCTATTATTATTCGTAGGACAGGGGCACGGGGCTTGGGGTGTTTCCTGCTGGCAGGGGGTGTTTCCTGCTGGCAGGGGGGTGTTTCCCGCTGGGAACAATCATGAGACTTTGCTAGAGATCTGCTAATAAAATATTGCTCTAGCGATGACATCTTCTTCAGTTTTGTACGACTTTTAGGTACTTGCAAGGATTGGGCCCAGTTAGTTAACTAGCAATAGTGTTGTTGACGTGGAGTCTTTCGAAGATGTAAGATTCATTACAGGTTTGGCGAATTTTTCAAAACAGTGTTCCTAAGTCGAAACGTGTTGTTAAAAATACAACTGGTAATAACTGGCTCGCTATGTGGTGTATCGTTTAACCAAACCCCCCCCCCCCCCAAGTTCATATTTACAGCCCTAAATTTGACTCTTCTTGCTTACCAGGCTCATAAGTCAACAGTTTGGTGTGTTAAGCATATGCCACAAAATAGGGATGTTTTTATGACTGCTGGTGGAAACGGCACACTGAATCTGTGGAAATAGTAAGCCTTCAAACATCTTTGCTTTTTTAACTATTCAACGGCCTTTAACTATTTGAGTATGTGTGTACAGAACAGTTGTCTGGTGATCTCATTAAACCGAAGACTTGCAGTATCCTAATTGCCACGTGGAACTGTCTTCAATACCAAACCGATGAACTGTTATTTAAAGAGAACTACAGATTTCAAGATAGCACCTACAAGCGGAAACATAGGTTTCTAAAACACTTTTCGTCAGACATTCCTAAAACGTTTTAACGTTGAATAATGACTCAAAGTAAGTTGAAATTTTTATCACAATGCAGATCGAATGAAACCTGTAATGAAGAATTCCTCATTTGATTGGATTATTTGTCTAAACATAAAGTCTAAACTTGATGAAAGTTAACTTGATGAAAAACAAATGTTTTACTATCAATACAAGTTGTGAGTTTTATTTGCTTAATCATTTCGTACAAAAGTGAACTAAAAAGCTATTGACGGATTCGTTACATGCAGTCGATCGCTGGTTGTACATAAAGTCCGCTATAGTTTTGAAAAATCTTCTCTGAGGATTTTATTATTTTTTATTTTATTATTATGAATTTCTTCAAAGTTGGTTTTTTACATAGTTTTTATAAATGAAACTAATTTAGGCCAACTATTTGTAATAAACACTCGAATATTAATACAATAAGATACTAAGAAATTGATAAAAAGGAAGAAAAATAATATTGTATATGGAATTAAACGCGCATATATGACTTAAACTCAAGCGCCTTATGAATTGCCCGAGACCAATCTGTTACATTAATTTTGCTTCTTTTCAAAAACAAATTGTGTTAGTATGGGAGCGGAATTACCGCTGACTTCTGTTTAATTTCAGATCTGCACCAAGGGACTGCGAGTAATTCTCATAAATGTGAAGACACTGAACCCCATCTTCCAATGTTATTCTTCCACCCTTCCAGCCTAAACAATTCTGGTTTAGTACATTTACGTTGTCTTCAGAATTTCGCTTATATTACCTAGCATTAATTTTTTTCTTTGGAATGCGGGTCTCCTTGTTTTTAATGATACTTTATGCTGACGGATTTCAGTTATACTTGTTTGTTTTATTATATTGTTTGTTATTGTTTGTTTGTTTATTATATTATATTATTATATTATTATATTATTTATTATATTGTTATATTGTTTTGAAGAAATATTTGCATGTGCAAGGTTTTTTGTCGCCCTCATTCATTGTGTGTCTTTGTTAACAGCTCATACCCTGCTAAACGCTCAAAGCAAGATACAGACGGGTTAGATGTTGGGGTGATGGGCTCAGTCTCGTTGGTGCAAAATGCCTCGTTATCAACTCAACCGATACACTCATTCGACTGGAGCCCTGATAAGGTAAGATTTTGCGTTCTCACCAGATCAGTTGCAGAATTTCGAAGCCGTTTTATCCAAATCTCTCTGTTGTGATTTATCTTTACGAAAAATGAGTAGGTAAATGAAGGGGGGAGGGAGGGCTAGCAATATTTCATGAAAACCTGTCATCATGATAATCAGCATCATAATCATCATTATAATCATAATCTTCTGCGTCATCATCAGCATAAAACTGGTACTGGCTTAACTTGCCATCATGGTACACGTCAACACAAAGCAATTTGATTGCATAAAATCATTGAAGAGTAGGATCATTGAGCATATCGTCGGATCGGAGGCTAAATAGTTTTCGCTGTCATATGTACTGAATGTAAAAACAATTTCGCTGATGGGTAGAAAAACTTTAGAGTTATTTTATAGAGGAGAATTACGTCCTAGAGCTTACAAGCAGAATTACCCTTTAATCTTGTTCCTTAGATTTTATATATATTTTTATTTATTTAAGGCCGCTATCTATATATTTATATATTTAAAGCGGCTATCTTGTTATGAAATTCGCCACAATCCCAGTAAGGCCTAGGGTTATTAAGGCTTAACTTTTCTTTTTTTCGGCAAACTATTGCTAAGGTTTTCATTGACTGACATGTCATTCACTGTCTCAAGTTGTCGGGTCATATGACATATATTTGTAAATATATGCACACTTTGGTACATGAACCAGTCTATTTAGTTCGTGGACAGTTATAATATTCCTTCAACTTTTATCAATCCAATTGTGCACGGCATTTTTGAAGTTTGAATTCTTCTCTGCAACGGTTTTTCACTTCTTGGCGCTTCTATCACGCTTTATGCAGTGACATCTTGACCCCTTTTCGCTTGTTGCTTTTGGGGAGGCCATTTATTTTATTATATTATTTTATATTATATTATTTTATATTATATTTTATTATAATTTTTATATCGGTAATTATAATTATATTATATTATTTTATTGGCTACAGTTCAGGGTGTATTTTACAGACTTATGTTGCCTTGCGCTGTATGCATGACAACATATTCAATTTGGAAGAAAGGTCTTCATAGTGGCGTCATTGCCAAAGGGAAAGGAATTCCGCTGTTTGGGAATGTGTTGGATTTCGCGGAAAATTAGGGATATCATCATAATAATAAGGCGAATATTTTAACTAGATCAAAATCCAGATTTTAACTTCAACAAAACCATTGCTGTTATCGATGCCTATCCTGCTAAAAAGGAAAAGAAAATATTAAAAACATTATTTACAATTACATGGTTATAAATATCGTAATAAAAGTTCCTTAAACATTAGGACATTATGAGAAATTTTGTCGGAAAATGAGTTCTATTTGCTTCCACTTGAATACAATTACCGCAAAGCCATAGATTTATGTTAAAACAGTTAAAGTATGAAAGATGACTCATATTAATCGTACAAATCCCTTTGGGTTCAGTTGAGCACCAATGGTTTTCCAAAGCAAAAGCCATAGATTACATGATAGAAATTAAAGTTTACAATGTGTGCAAAAGTTGACATTTTGATCGCTGTGTTTTCCCGTGTCTGTTTCTTTTCTCTAGGAGGGATTGGCTGTGTGTACATCCTTTGATCAATCTTTGCGGGTGCTTTTTGTGACAAAGCTCAACAGGATGTGATCGTGGTCATGTGATTGAGGCCTTATACGAATACGAGGCACATGAGGTCCGTTCCAGTGCACCTTTGCCGTTACAGTGATTGTTATGGTCTCAGTTTGACGAGAATTTCACCAATACAAAGCACTTGTAGATACGTAATTTGCATATCATCTACGTGAGGACTGTGTTAAATTATTTTTCAGTTTTAAACCCGTACCAAGAAAATAGTTTTAAACAACAAGAGTTTTAGTTTTAAATGAGAACAGAGAACAAGCAGGAGGAAAAGCACGTTTTGACTTCATGGGCAGGTTTTGATGTTACGGAAACCTGACTTAGCTTTAAATATGATGTTTCTCCTAAATATTTGATCATGCTGTTAGAATTAAGAGACATCGAAGTTTCCATGTTCAGTTGATATTAAATATAAAATCCCTTAGCCTGTAATTCAACATACTTTGTAAAAAGCCTCCTGCCTCTCTTTTACATCCAGCCATTAAGATTTGAGTGCAACTTATATTTAGTCTGAATGATAATTAGTTCAGCAATTATTGATTTATGACTTGTTCATATCTGTGTTGTTCGCATCTGCAATTATTTGTAAAATTGGTTTTAATCAAATCGAATTCCGTAGCTTTTCTACTTTTCTGGTCGATGCTGAAGCTTTGCTATTGAAAGAGGAACCGAGTACCAACATCAATCAACAGCTTTTGATGTTTGATGACTATAGTTACACAAGGAACTTTATTTGAGTTAGTTACACTGTTGTTAAGGTGATGTAAGCACAAACCTTTGTTCTTAAGCCTCCGGTCTAAGTAACCAGCAACCATTTGATAGTAATTTTTTATGTAGTTTACTGTGTACTTTTCGAAATTGTTAGGGTACATAGCATACTGAGACTTGTTGTAAGACATTTAATGAAAAGGAATAGTGTGAATTGTGCGAATGGACTTGCCTAGGTATATAATCGTCTTCTGGGTGATTTTTTCATAGCACTAATTAAAAACTATCTTTCACACAACAGACAGTGGCAGGAGTTCAAAATCTTCAGACAGTGGCAGGAGAGTCAAAATTTAGCGAATGGGAAGAGACAGTGGCAGGAGTTCCGCAGGGCTCATTCTTCGGTCTACTTTTCTTTAATGTATTTGTTAATGACATTTCCTTCGATATAAAGTCTTCTCGTATATGATACTTTGCAGACGATAATACTACCTATGTAAGTGGCAAAGATGTTAGATTAGTTGCGAAACGACTTGAGGATGATATCTCTAGAGCTTTTGCATGGTTTACAGATGATAGAATGCTGGTAAATAAAGACAAATTCAGGTAATGTTACTTGTCCTGAAACAACATCCAAAATTTATGCTAGAAATAGATAACAAGATAAATAATTTTGCAAAGTCTGTTAAATCACTTGAGCTAACTTTTGAAGATGAGATGAAGTTTGACGAAGAAACAGTAGGTGAAAAAGTTTGTAGAAAAGTCTGGGCATTTTAAGGAGCGCATCTTACTTTGACAAGAAGAAGGAAAAGACTTCCATGGATGGCACCACTGGGGGGGCTGGGGGGCAAAAGATCAAAACTTTTGGACGTTATTTTTTAATTATTTTTGAAAAAGAGTATAAAAAATAATAAACTTAATTTTACTAATTTATTGAGGTATATTTTTTTTAATTGTCTATTCAGTAGATACCTTTCTGTATCATTGCAATGTCTGCATTTTGGATGTGTAAACATGGCCTACTGAAAAAGGTCGAGACAAAGTAGATGCACATTTCTATTCAGGAAGTAAAATTATCTTAATCAAACCACAGCTTCTTGTTATTCACATCAATAAGCACTTTGAACTAAAGGTCACCCTTTCTCTCTTTCCCCAACGTCTGTCACTAGCGTTTTAGCATGTATCTTCCCCTCCCAAATTTTCCCTAAAAATCAATAATTAGTGTTTTTCTGAGTCTTTTCCTAAAAATCAATCAATAATTAGTATATTAATTTGTTTAATTTTAGTCTGGGAGATGCATTTTTAGCCATTCTAAAAGGCCTAGTTTCAAAAGTTTTCTTCCGCGTCGGACCAAACCATGGTGGGTCCTCCTTTGTCACTAAACTTGATTCTCAGCCCCCCCCCCCCCCCCCAGGCTCATTTTCGTGGCGCCGTCTCTGTTATCTGGAAATGCTTTGTGAAACCTATACATCGAGCTTTGACGAGCTTCTACCGAAGTTAGGTGACAGCAGGATCCATGTAAAAAACGTCTAAACTTAAAGATTGAAATATGCAAGTGAATCTCTTGCGAAAATCCGTCCTTTATGTCGAATATTCTTCAGAGAAAATAATAGGAAATTTTCATTTTAAACTGCAGTTACAAATTTCACTATTCTAAAGGAAATTTCGCAATTGGCTAACCTGGGCCTACAAAGAAAATAACTATAGAAGGTAGCATCTTCTGGAACAGCCTAACTGACACTATAAAGAGTTAACCCTCTGTTTTAGGTTTGAGAAAACTGATAGAAAATGAAAGGGTAAAGGTTGCAAGTGCAAAAATTGTTTGCAGTATAATCATTTCATTTGCATCAATATTTGTGCATGCGAATAAGTTAAATTACCTTTCTGTTATATGTAGTTGTTTTTGTTATAGCTATTTTATACGCTATTGTAAAAAACCAGCTGGGAAAAACAAAACATAACGCAGAGAATGTGGATAAAAGTTTCGAGAGAGGACTCTCCATCAAGTAATTTTTCATCAAGGACGGTTCAACCTTGTATTTAGGCCAAAAAATTGGTTCTCCGTTTGTCCTACGTCCCAGCATCAATAAATTACCTACCCAGCATCTATTGATATGAGAGTTATACTGTAGATTATGCATTATACATTACTGCCAGTTATCCACTACTACTAGAATACACATCCATGTTGGACGGTACTATCAAATAGCTTGACTTGATACCCTTGACAGTACCTATTGATAAGGAACTGAGAACCTGATGATGAAATGTAAATAAGAAGCTTTTTGAGGTCTCAGGCCTCAGTTTAAAAAGTGGTTTTTTTATATTCAGGTGTTTACTGAATAATACAGTTTAACTGTTCTTGTTACTTTGAATTCCCTTGTTACTCTGTTACTTTTACATCAGGGTACCCGATTTGTCCCCTGATTCCCGCTACGTTTTTCAGTTCCTGAATTTCATTTCATTTTAACGTTTAACCCATGGTAATCCACTCGATATTATAACATACTGCTTAACAGGGAGCCATGCAAAAAATCTACTAACAACTAAATATATAAAGTAATCTTAATTACAATGATTATTGATAAAATAACGAAAAGAAAAAACAAGCTTAGTCTTGGTTGGTTAATATTTGGGTTTTATTTTTCCTTCTAAATGAGCAGAAGAATGATGATGCTTTGACACCACTGTCCAGGCCATTCCAGACCTTAGCTAGCCACTCTATAAGCAAACTATTTTTGACCAGTAGATGTTTTCTCTAAGGCCAGGTGTCAAGTTCCTCAACTGACGGTCAGTAGCTTCAGGTACAATTTGAAAGGGGTTTCTCAAATAATCAGGGGGCATGCCGGTGTTGTCGATCCCCGGGTTCCAATTCATGATTCCCGACTTCAAAAAATGACGATTCCCACTTCGCTGACAAGCATATTGGTTACCCTCTTTGTGGGTGTGCTTTTATTGCCGTGAAGAAGACTTTTGGGTCCAGGCTCTTTGGGCCTCGGCTTGGCGGAAGCAGCTGAATAGAATAGCCATCATTCATGGGCGTAGAAGGAAATGTCGAAAGCGAACAATAAACAATCATATTGAATTTGCTGGCAATAAATAAAGTTAATTGCGCGAAGAAACCAACCAAGGACTGCAGAAATTACCAAACCGTGCATTTGGGACTCACGAACAAAAGAAAAACCTCTATATCACCACCTTGGCAATTGGCAGTGTGAAGTTAGGCCGCGGCTTAGAAGCATTCAATTGGCACATTGTGTTTACTATAAAGTAATCAAATGATAAAAGTTGTTGCGGTTATAAGGAAGAAAACTTCTTTTTCTCTTTGGACGCAACGTCGTGTAGCTTCAAACTGAAGAAAGCTCGGCTTTTCATATTTTCGTTATTGATGCGGAAAGATTACAGACTCCTAACTAGCCTATTAGTGTGTCTTGGATATCTGAGATATTTGATACTTGACTCTTATCCATCATAGTACAAGGAAAGCTGAAGTTGGATAATCAACATCACAATGGGGTATGTTTATCCTAATGTTGTATTAGCGAGAATACTTTGTTTTTTTGGACACTAGGAAATTTCCCGACACGGAAATAGTGTTTTGGGACGCTGGTTACTTAGGCTGAATAACTGACTGCCCGCATATATAAAGTGTGGGGTTTTCTATCGTTTCCTTTGTGGTAATTGCCTGTGGGTGTCACCAATTATAATTTTAAACTAACTTCTTTTCGTGTGGTTGTACTGAAAAACTGTGGCTAGCTTTTTCCAGCCATTAATGCAGCTTAAAAACAAATGTATCCTTCCAAATTGTTTGAAACACGGAAGATCTTAGTTTTCCTTTTGTATTCTAACATACAATAAGACGCTTATTAATTTGTTTCGCAAACATTCGCCGTCTACCTAAAACATTTGTGCTAAACCTTTTTTTCCCCTTTCATAAGATTTCAATGAAACTGTGTAGGTTAATAACTTTTGTAGCTAGTTGTGCTTTAAATTGAGTCAAAATTAAATCGAAATTGCCAGTACCAGAGGCACTCTTATGAGTGGATTCTATTGACAAAAAAGGAAGCAAACTGTGTAGAATCTCAGAAAATTTGGATAAATTTTCAGTATAGAAGAAGATCTTGCTATTGTAATATTTCCTTACATAAACATGTTTAAATGAGTTTATTTTCAACTTGGTAATTTTTTGTTACAGCTAGTTGCATCATATTTTTGTTATTAGATTGAGACTAAGCACAATGACAAATCTTATCATGTATTTCAACTATAGTCTAGTGCCAGGTTAGTCTAGTGCCTTGAGTTTTTAAATTAGCACTGTACAATTCATCTTGGCAACTTTGCCCTTACATTGAGTGTTTTCTGGGTAACGTGATGTAAATGTTTGCTCAATTTTGACAGTGAAAGATCAGTTTGTCAGGCCAAGGCCTCTGTTATGGTTTATAACAATGATATTAAAAAATGGGAACATGCTGGTGGCTCACAAGGACTTTCAATAGTTCATGTTTATCATAACACAGCTAACAACAACTACAGAATCGTTGGAAGAAAGACAAACACCAATGAGGTTACAATCTTGATTTCATCATTTTTGTTGCTAAAATATATAGTACCAAGAAGAACCATTTATCAAGGAAGACATTGCAAATTTGTTCAGTTACAAATAAACAAATTTTCAACTTTATTCTGATTCAAATTGAACAGGAATTTTCATTCTCTTTATTTAAAAATAATGTTTTCTTGGTTTCCAGGAAATTAATTGTAAAAGCAGACATTCACATTTTTGCATATTTTTCAATGTTTTGCATGAACTTTACATACTAAGTAGCAGAATAAGTAATTGGATGGTTGCAGCAATTTAGGATGATAAATTAAATCAACTTTACAAAGGAGTTATTCCAGTTTTTGACAATAAC